TCCTCCAATTGTAACATTCGTGACGAATGCCCCGGGATCTGGGGAAGATTTCAAGTCCAAAATCTGGACTGACTGTGGGAGACCTTGTACAGGAGTTGAAGGGCTGGTCTGATGCTTGGCAAATGCCTCAAGTAGCTGTGAGAATCCAGGAATACTCCATAAAAGTTCATCAAGTGAAACCGAACATTTGGTGTCAAGCAACTGTTGCATAAGGGACTCGGGCACATATGAGTGTGGAAGAAATACCTGGCTAGACCTGATAAAAAATTAGAGCCGATCCAGACGTCTGCATTTCAAGGGTGTGTCAGGTGTGGCAAATACCTCAAGAAAGGGAATCTTGTAAGCAGCAACTTTTCCTTTGGCCTGGGCTGGTTTCTAGGAACCATCAAGCTCCTCTGCAGAAGTGAGCTTCTTCCTCTGAGCCCTGGTGACAGAAATACGTGCATGCTCCTCTTCAGCAATCCAGATTGTCAAGATAACTTTCTCTTGACGAATGCCTCAAGTGCTCAATGAGAAAGGAAACTTTGGAACTGAGCTATTGTCAGCAAGAGGTTGTTTCTGGACATGCTGTGTCCTCAGTGATTGCTGCTCTGGATGCAATGTCCAGCAACAATCGGTGCTATCTGCCGAAATTTGGCAATGCATACACCATTATCGCTCACAAGGCTTGCTCTCTTGTGCGGCCTAAGACTGGAGCTTGAGGGACCTCAACTCCTCTATAAACTTGTCTTGTTGCTGTTGTTGCTGCTGGATCAGTTGCTTGTAAGTCACGAGTTTGTCAAGTGCCTTCACGATCATGGGTGGGAGTTTCTCCTCAACTGAAACAGCTGGCACACTACAAGCTGTGGCACAAGTTGGTGGAGGATCATCCTCAGTGCTGACTGGGACGACCAAGTCCTGGAGGCATTCACGCTCCAACTCCTTGGCATGATCAAAGGCATTAGTGCATGCTGTGTGTTGTCGCTTTGCAACTTTGTGCTGGATCATTGGCTTGAGACTTTGGATGAAAGCAGAGATGATTAGCTTCTTGTCCTCTATGAGGTTTTGAGTAAGGCATGCCTTCCAGTGATGTTTGAAGCAGATGACATAATCTGCCATACTCTTATTGTGTCATTGCTGAAAAGAGAAAAGCTCTGAGTAATGTTAGTCCTCTTATTACAACTTCTTGCGGAACTTTCTGTTCATTGTCTCAAGGTCTGGCCATTCTGTAGGAAGGAGAGAAGTTGCCCACTCACTCACCCACAAAGAGAAAGTAATAAATGCTCGTGAACAAGATCCTCATCATTGATATGATTATGTGCAATATACATAGCAAAGTGCTGAACATGTTCTTCAGCATCAACACCTTGTCTACAAGTGAACCATGGCATCTCCATGGAGCGCTAGAGGATATGGATAGCGAGAGGCTCCATCTTGAAAAGTTTGTCAAATAGCAATAAATGCCTGTCAATGGGATGTGTCACAAGGGAGGAAGCCTCACCAATATCTGGGCCAAGAGGAAATTCAAGTTCCTTTGTGAGTTGTGAATACTTCTTAAAAATAATATGTTATGGAGAAAACACTCTAGCTGAGTAGAGCTCTAAGCCAGAGTTTGAATGGGCATCAAGTTGTGTGTCCTGTAAATGCCGCTTCAGGGTAAAAGTCAGGATCCAGAAAAAGAAATACAAATCACTCAGAACCACTCAAGGACTCAAACATGCTCATACTCACCAGAAAATGACAAAAAAAAATGAAAAAAAAATGTTCTCATATAAACCAAATTCCTTCAATAAATATAAAACAAGAAAGAAACATAAAAAAATAATAAAAAAGAAATGTATAAACTATAAGACCAAACCTTAAACATAAAAATTCACACAAAAAATTTAAGAAACCGTGACAAACCACAATAAAATGCCTCTCATCTCAAAGTAAAAACTAAAATAGAAATCTTTAAAACTCACAAGATTGAACATGGATGGAAGCAGTATTCAGTGTGGTGATAGATGTCCTCAAAACGCTCCTAGCAAACCAAATATTACCATAAACCATGCACCATATCCCAAGATCCAAGTGAGTGAAGCTCCAAGTGTGTACAAAAGGAAATTAGTTGCTTGTGGCAACCCATGGCTCAATTGTGATGAAAGGTGATTCCTGTTGGCTTAGATCTCCGCTCAAAAACTGAGGAATTCTCCAGCTAAAAAGCATGCTCCAAGGACATAATAAATGTGCACCACAACAGAAAAATATAAATATCTCTAAGATCACTCCACAACTAAGCTAGCACCATACCTTGTTGGAAAGAGGAGACCATAAACTTTCCGAAGCAAAACAAAGGAATTCCACTCAGAGATGAGTGAGGAAAGAGCGCTCAAAGCCCATAGTGGAACAACAATCTCCAATCAAAAAGCATGTGTTAGGTCGTGTTCACCATTTGTTGGGGGTATGATGTTTGCCTTATATTCTCTGCGAGTTTTTAGACAAGGATCTTGGGATATTCAAGGAATATCTCGCTCTCACCAGTGGCAAAGCTCCCAACAGCTCTCTTTGCATGACTAAGAGAACTAGAAACTTGATCTACAGTTCTTAAGGCTTGAGTGTCGAGCCTATTCAGAATGGACGAAGAGAATGGAATGGACTTCAGCTGGATGTGGGGCACTTCCTCCTATGGATGCTCTCGATGTTGATGGTCATGATGGAGAATTCTTCTGTGGCTAGTTTTCTGGAGAGGTGAACGAGTGCTGGAGTGTCTGGCAGTGGAACCACTAGCCGGAAGAATCGGTGGCCATGGCAGAGACGAAGTATTATTGCCAGGCTGCTTCTTCTCTAGTGTAACTAATGGCACTTTACATTGGCTGGCACAATTCAATGAGAATACAACACCACCACCTTTCGAAGTGCTCCAGAAAAAGTTGGAGGGGAGATTCATACAAGCGCGTCATCCAATCAGTCCTGGATTCTCATTTTAATCTGGAAGTATCCTGACAGTCTGAAAAAGAAAGAGCATGAGTATCGATATATCGATCTCCAGTGCTACTGCACTACCACAACCAGCGCCACTAGCACAGCCAGCTTAAACTACACGACACCGCCATTGGACAGCTATGTCACTCCACCTCAGGAGCTCATCACAAGGCTATCGATAATTCTCCCACGAGCACCTGGGAGATCGATATAGCTGTTCCAGGTGGCGGTGGACAACATTGCCAAGCTGCAGAGAGTTTAGACCACCCCTCAACCAGCGCAACTACAAACCACAGCTAAAAAAGTGATGGAGCGATGGAGCAATGGTGATGGGAGATGGTGGAAGGATTGGACGAGCGTGAATTTCACCCACACTACCATGCAAATGCGATGAAATGCACGCTTCCAAGCTCCACTAATTGTCATTTCATGAGGTCACAAAGCTTACGGCATCAAGCTCCAGCAATTTTTCTATTGTGCTATTTTGAACCATGAAATTGATGAATGCAAAAATGCAAGTGTATTGTGAGTTGTTAAGAAGCTCCTTGCTCCACACAATCTGCTGCTGGACTTCTTTGGCCATGTGGAGTCCAACCTCTTCTTGCTTTCTGCTTGTTCAATTTGCATTTGTCTATATTGGAACATGTACACATCTGTAACTCAGAGATAAATTCTCATTCTTCTTTTTTTTTTCAAATTGCTGCTACAGTTCCTGAGATTCGCAACTCACGTGTTGAGTCCAGGATACTGTTCTCTAGTCTTGTACGGAACGCTAGGTTTATCTGAATTGGCAGCTTCGATGGCGCTAGTGCCTTGTTCGTCGTTCAATCTTCGCGGGCTCCTTTCTTTGCCGCCATTGCGCAAATCTCTGAGAAGGCCGAAGTTGAAAGCGATTGTATTGGGTGCGTCAATGTCGGAGGATGGGCAATCTCGTACTTGCAAGAAGCAAGATGCAACAAAGAAGAAGAAAGCAGCGCGCACAACATATTTGTTCGCTGCTGTTGCCTCAAGCACATTGATCGGCGGTCTCAGCATTGGAGCTGCGTGTTACAGATTCGTGTGGCAAATGCAGGAGGTATGTGAACTTTGACACACATAGGCTTGATCACAAAAGAGAAATCTTTAACTATGTTCAGAAAGGCAGCAGTGAATTGCCTGCTCTGGAAATCCTTGGTACCGTGTCTTTGGCATTAGGCGCAGCTGTGAGTATGTTCAAAGCTGCTGTTCAAGATTGATTTTATTCTGTTTCTCGAATCTCAGGTGGGCATGGAGTTTTGGGCTAGATGGGCACACAAAGCGCTATGGCACTCTTGCTTGTGGAGCATGCACAAGGTAACGCACACACAAATTTTCCGACAGTTAATTGCCACAAGTCTCTCTACAACAGTCTCATCATGTTCCTCGCCAAGGTCCATTCGAGCTCAACGACGTTTTTGCCATTGTGAACGCAGTCCCTGCTATAGCTCTCATGTCTTACGGATTCTCCCACGAAGGACTCCTTCCTGGTCTGTGCTTTGGAGCAGTAAGTAATAGAAGTATTTCTTGTAGCTTTGAAAATATTGCATTCCAGGGCCTGGGCATCACCATCTTCGGGATGGCCTACATGTTTGTTCACGACGGCCTGGTGCACCAAAGGTTTCCAGTTGGCCCACTGGCCGATGTGCCATACTTCCAGAAGGTAGCAGCTGCTCACCAGGTTTGTCCATAAATCATTCAGCTCTAGATTCAGCATCAAACCTCAGATTCACCATGCCAATCTGTTTGATGGCGTTCCGTACGGTTTGTTCCTGGGGCTAAAGGTGAGTGAGAGATGGAAACGAAATTTTTGACGGATTCGTTGCCCTGATAGGAACTGGAAGCGGTGGGTGGAGAAGTGGAGCTGGAGAAGCTGGTGTCAAGTCGTCAGCTTAAAAAATAATAGATTGATTGTAGCACCACGAAAAAGATTTTTTACTACTATTATTTATTAAAAAAAGCGACTGCAAATCGGCCCTATAAAGCTGACACCAGGTCTTCAAACTATCGTACCTTTAGAAAACGTGCGTTTTTTGAATCACATGGAATCTTGGCGGGTGGAATGTCCCAGGCTTTTAAAATGGCCCACAGGACCCAAATGTCATATCGAGAAAAAGACTTTGTCCGAGAAACGTACACAGCAAGGCTTGTACGCAGCTCGGACCAAACCAGCTGCGTACACGGACTTTGTACCCCTGTGGAAGGAGGAAGGAAGAGCACCCCGCGCACGTCCATCTCAGGTCGGTCCTGTGCGGAGGCTTCCTGAAATGTATCACTGCAAGGCGGTCGCTTACAACTTGAGTAGCTGCGGCTGGAAGGGGGAGAAGAAGGAGCAGATGTTTGCCACTACAACGCCTCCGCACTGGCTTGTTCGAAGAGTAGCAACAACAAGTATTGGGCCGAATGTGAAGAGTAGTAACCTGCTATGCGGGAAGAAGAACGAGCAGATGATTGCCAGTACCACGGCTCCGCCCCCGCTTGTCCGAAGTGTGAAGAATGTAACAACGACAAGTACCGGACCGGGATTCAAAGTCAATGCATGGGGCTTGCTCCTGGGGGCATGTTTGCTCTTGCACCCAGCAAACCGTGCTGGAGCTCTGGACATCGAGACTGCTCAAAAAACATGGAAATGTCTTCTGAGTGGATGCAGGTGCTGTTGTGTTCCACTTCTCATTTGTTGGGTTTCATTGTTTATTTTGAATCCACCTGATCTCATAGTTGTGCATGTTCTTCAGATCCGAGCTGGTTCGATGCGTGGGAGATCCTTCATGCGCTGCCAATTTAGTTTGTCTGGAAACTTGCAGTCCAGGGGACTTGAATTGCCAAGTATTATTTGATTTTATACAGGTTTCCTCGGATCAAGTTTCTCACTATGTTTCTGTTCTCTCGTTTTGTACCGGAATATAGGTCAGATGCGGAGACATTTTCCAGAACAAGGTCGTAGAGGAATTCAACACATGCCTCCTGAGCAAAAAAAAGTGCATCCCTCAAAGTGCCAACGACGGCTCCTACCCGGTACCTCCAGACTGCGCTCTGGTGGAAAAGTTCAACACGCAAGACTTCACAGGCACATGGTATATTACCAGCGGTCTCAACCCCCTGTTCGATCTCTACGATTGCCAAGTTCATGAGTTCTCGGCCAGTCCCCACAAGCTCACCGGAAAACTGACGTGGAGGGTGACCACCCCCGACGGCGGCTTCATCACACGCAACGCAATACAAAATTTCGTGCAGAGTAATCCCAAACGCCCGGGTGTCCTCTCCAATCATGATAACGAGTACCTCAATTACAAAGACGATTGGTGAGTGTTTCGCAATCTTCCAAAGCTTCCGTGTGCATAGGTCCGGTGCGCGATTGACAGCATAGCTGCGGATTCTGAATGAGCAATTGACGGATTGATTGGTGGCTCTTCCGTAGGTTCATCGTTTCCGCCCGGCTCAACAAGCAACCTGACGACTACATGTTCGTGTACTACAATGGGTCCAACGATGCATGGGACGGATATGGTGGAGCTGTCGTCTACACACGGAGTTCAAGCCTCCCCAAGTCCATTTTCCCCGAGCTGCGGCTTGCTGCTGCTAAAGTCGGCTTGGATTTTGACAACTTCAAGACAACTGACAACAGTTGCGGTCCGCAGCCATCTGTGTTTGCTAGAGTCCACAAGAGATTGTTCGAAGGAGAGAGAGCTATTGCTATAAACCGTAATAATAGTTCTAGCTAGTCATTTATCCTCTGTGTGTTTCTACGAGAAACATAAAAGATTTAAAACATGTAATAAATAAATATGAGAAAGAATCCATGTAGCCCTATGTACTACGCTATATCAGACATAAGTTCCAGGGAGAATTTTCTTGGAACTGGTTGTAATTTAAAAAACCAAGCAACTTTTATAACATATCTCTCTACTTTAGTAAGAACAAACCAACTGGCTGGCCATGGAAACTTTCGTAAGACTTCTGTGCATCCCACCTCATGATATACACTTTATTTCAGATTCAAAGAAAATGAAAGAACCACACACCTATGGACAATATATAAACATGTTTTTTCTCATGTTGCACCAACAATGCAATGGATGCAAATTATATTCTTTATCACTCTTTGTCAAATGACATTATCATAAAAAAATTTGGCATTGTCCTTTTTACACTTCTTATTGGATCTTTTTATAACATGACCTTCCTTTTGATCAGCTCTAAAGAGTTCCTCCATCAAAACATCTTCTTCATCTTGCTCTTTTCACATTATTATCTATTTCCCAAGCTTTTTAAAAATTATTTTGCTTTATTTTCATTGTTCATATTCACTTTCTCCAACTTTTGGTTTTACCAATGATTTAATTATTATGATAGCTGTAAGACTGGATAAAAAAAACCTTTAAATTGCATAGTTGTGTCTTAGATTATCTTCACATGGAAGTTCATCATCACTTTTTTTTATGCCTAAATTACTAATTGCTATATTGTAAATTGTTTTCATTAATTTAATCCTTTTTCTCAGATGAATTTCAAGTTTAGCTTCTTTGTTATTATTGAAAAACCATATGTTTGTATAACAAGCAGAATTATTAATATTTATATCCTTTTTTCTGTGCTCTCTCATGCTTTTGAGATTCTTACCAACTCAACCTTCCTCCATTTCATTTAGTGTTCTATGTTTTTTTATTAAAATTGTATCATAAGCTTTTTAATCCTACTTATATTCCACCACCATATCCTCCTAAGATCATTGCTAATAAGCTGAAGTTTGAGGTGGTTGACATCAATATTAATACTACAAACTTTATTATTTAATTGACTAACTTGAGATTTTCTTAGTGATCATATTCTTATCTTACTCATGCTTGTGGATTTCCATTGGTCATATCCCCTCAACTCAAGTTTAACACCTTTTTAGTTACCACTTGATGCTTATCATTAAAGAGGGGAATGTCACTATCTTCTATATTTACTAAAGTATATTTTGCCACTATTGTCTACCATGCAATTCAAATCTCATAAGTGTGCTCATAGGATTTGAATCCAAGACTTGCCATATGGCATCTAAAATTAACATTAACTCATCTTCTAGATTAGTTTGCGGTTGGATTATATTAGTTTCTAAATACTTCATACTAATAAGTTAAAAGTGTTAAATGTTTTATAGTTAATCATTCTTATTTTTTTCTTTTGTTTTTATTAGTAGTCTGTTATTGTCTTCCCTTCTCTTGAAGATAAACTGACATTATATAGAGAATAATTTTGGCATTAAGTTAAATGTAATGAATAAAAAATGTTATATAACATGGATAGTTTGAGAGACTTACTTCACTAGCATTTTTAGCAATATTGTCAAAAAATTGACAAACTTGAGAGATAGGGTGTCAAATGGGAAAGTTATAATTTTTAACTTTTGTTCACGAAGGTCTAAACTTATAAGGAAGTGTGATAAATTGTAAATAAATTTAGATATATTCTTTAGGTTTGAATAGAATTAAGTTGAATAATTCCTTAAGAAGCCTAAACTCAAGACATTATGACAATTGTTTGCAAGAATAATAAAACATATGAGCAAGACATTGTTCTAATGAAGATTGTAGCCAAAAACACTTTGCATAAAGATAAAAGAAAAGAAGAAAAATGATAACTAATCTAATCTAATTTGGGTGTTCTAAATGCTAGTTAAGCTTGAATCCCGTGGTTTGATAGTGACAGAGAGTAAAAAACAGTAGAATATAGTAAGAAACAAATGAGTTCAAGTGGATCTATTATAAATGAGTGGATAGCTTAGAGTGAATATACATTCTAGCAACTATGGGGACTCAATCAAGAAAGATTCCTAACGAAAAGTACATGGATAATTTTGAGTATCTTATATATGCTGTAATGTGACCCAACCAACAAACTAGTGGTTCAGTTACTGTGTGCAAAAAGAAAAAGAGAAAGAAGAAATGTGTATTAATCTGATCTTCATCCATTGGAAACAAAATAAAAAAATATAAAGAGAGCAAAGAACAGTAGCATGACAACAAATGAGTTGAAGTGGAACTATTATAAACAAGTGGATGCTTTTGGCTCAGAGTGAATATATATTCTAGCAACCACGAAAGATCTGCGGTTTTCAAATGGACAATTTTGGATATTTTATATATGCTGTACCAACAAACTAGTGGTTGAAAAAAGAAAAAGAGAAAGAGATCTCATCCAGAGGGAAAAAGGTAAAATAATGACATCGCTGTTGCTGAGCTAAGAGATAAGGAAAGTGATGGCTTCACTTTCTCAAGTGGGAGAATATTTTTTGGAAGGGTTTTGAAGCATGCCCAAATTTGATAACCACTCTCTTTATATTAAACAGCAAGGCTGCTCCTAAATTCTATGCGTCATGACGACAAGTCCAAGCCCTGTGCAGAGGAATCACTGTTAAACTTCTCCTGGGGCATTGGGAAATCAGTTAGCATCTTTGACTCACATGCAAATTGATGGAGCGCCATGGCACCAATGCTGTATCCTTGACTGTGTCCGGAGCTATGGATGGTCAGCTCTACGTCGGGGGTGGCAACCATAAGAGCAAGGAACCAGACACCAAGGTATACAATCTGGTGGAGGATCTATTGGATCCTCTCCCATCACTGGAGACCATATGACCCTCGTTGTCGATCGCAACAAGATGGTTGTGAGCTCGAGTGATAGGAGCGACTCAACACAAGATCATTCCCAGGAAGTGGCGGACATTGCAAGGGTCCAACCGGATCTACAAAGCCAACAGGGCCAAATCGTTGTATATCGGGCGGATATACGAATGTGGCAAGAAGTCATGGGAGGCACTCCAGCTGGCGAGTGAGCAATGACAAGATTTTATTCCGCCATGTGAGCTGCCAGAAGAATATCTGGGCAGTTTCAAGAATTCCAAGGTTGTGACAGTGATCCAAGTTCCCCGTGATGGTGGCTTCAAGCGATCCAATAGTCTTAGATGACGAGGTTTTTCCAGCTTGATGGAAGATAAATAACTTATCTACAAGGCTGATGGAGGCATTGTGTCTCATCTAACTGTCACAAAGCTAAAACAACTTAGCCATCTAAAAGAATCTCTTTCAAGAAAATAAAAAAGAAAGAGAAAGTTAAGAAGCTGTGAGTCAGAAGACTAAGATGCTTTACTTTGCACTCCAAGTAGTTGCTAGCCAGGGAAGAAATGCGTCAACAGGTGTCTAAATGATCTCCCCAGTGACTTCCTGAGGAAGAAAAACGAAAGTTTTTCAGTATGGAGTGATCTTCTTCTTTGTCTAACCTGTTGAGCTTTGATTCTGTAGCTAGCAACAACGCTCCTTTGCCCGCAGTGCCTTGCTTCCTTCCCGTTGTTCTAATCACAACCTAGTGGGGCCGGACGAGTCCCAGCTGATCGAATATCTAACAGGGAACGATAGCATCACATATGCTGCCTCGGAGTGAAAGCCAAACCCGCAGGCAATCCACTTGGATAGAGCATGTAATCCTCCGGAGGTGTTGGTGCGAGCCAAATCACTGGCTGCATACGAGGATTACAAAAGCATTTCACAAAGTCTTACCTGGTTGAGTCTGTAAGGAGCTTCTAGATTCCGTGCCACTGAGCACACGATGCTTTCGTGCTCCTAGCAACAGTAACCGTCGAGATGTATCCTGGTTCGTTGAGGAACAAGGACAAGAGAGCTCCTACATACAGTGTTTGATCCAGGAGTGAACTCCCAAAACGTTCCATCTTGCGATCTTGTCGCTACAACTCCTAGAGAAAGTGGCATCTCCCCGGCCAGGCTTTCGCCTAAGCATGGCCATTGTCTGCAGGCTTTGTTCCGAGTGAACTTGTGTAGACACCAGCTTTGCCACCGTCGTGCAGCAAAAAACACTGTGATCGTCTTCTCCGGCCCCAGGATCAACTCCTAAGATGCATGCGTCTCCACTATCAAGTAGAAAGAACCGGATGATCAAAGATAGTATGGAAGAACCGGATGATCAAAGAGATAGAGTGGAAGAACCAGATGGTCAAAGAGAGAGTGGATGATCAAAGAGATAGTAAGACTTACAAGGTGACTGGCTGATGTAGAGATGCATGCGCAGTTTGCCATTATCATCCCTCTTGAAAAACTCGGGAATCTTGCCCCTCATCTACCAAAAAAAACCCGTAGGAACGCCTGCAATATATATGAGGAACAACGGGATAACTTACTTGAGCAATGTTCTTCTAGCGCTCACTTCGGCATGGCAGGCTGCGTTGAGGCATTTGGTCCTAGTTCCCAATGCAATCAATCGTTACAACCGTGTAAACCATCTAATCTAAGGAATGCTCCGAGACCTGTGTATTCACCCCTTTCTTGGACAAGCGCAAAACTCCCCCAGTCCATGTCCTTATAAACCCTAATATTTTGTTCTCTGGCGCGTCGCCCACTGTCACTAAGATCATCGAGTGCAGCACTTTCGTTTGGACCAGCAGCCTCGCTCACAAGGACGTGGTACACATTGCGCCCAGTGATTATCACACGGCATTTCTAACAGGTGAGAATGAGTGATTCGGGCGATCCTCCTTTTTTTTTTGTTTCTTTGTTTCTAGACGAAGGGGAACTCTACACAACTGGCTCGAACGATTCCGGACGGCTTGGAACGAAATCTTCCGGGTGTGAATTCTCTCCTGTGAGAGGTTCAACGCTAGATACTTCACTTGTTTCTCACGGTCACACTGTCGCTGTGACTGGTATCTTTTGTTTTTCCCTCGAGTTCCTTCTAGCTTAAACTTTGAGTTTCAGACACTGGCTCGCTAGTTTCCTGGGGATGTGGAGAGTTTGGCCAGCTCCATGCGGCTGGCGTTTTTAACAGCCCGCTGCCTCGCTTCATCTCGCGAACTCCTGTTTGTCCGTGTTGCTTGTGGTTCTGGCCGAACACTCGCTCTCACAGGTAAAATGGCTCAAGGTTGATGAGATTTATACTTCTGTGCAGGCAGCGGGGACGTTTACTCATTCGGACAAGGCATGTTTGGTGCTCTCGGTCACGGAGCCACGGAAAGCTTCGGCGCGCCGGTTATTGTTGACAGCCTTTGGGGCTTGGGAATCGTCCAGGTATTTGTCTGTGTTAGCTAGACAGAAAACTAGAATGCCATGGATATGCAGCATTGCTAATCGCCTACGGTGACAATCACAACTGCGCTTTGACAGTTGAGGGTCAGGTATGTTGTACTCAGGAACTTCATCGAGGCAACAAGTTTGAGAAGTTTGCCGCTCTTTAGCTGGGGACGAGGAAAGTATGGGCAGATTGGCTGTGGAAGCGTTGAGAAGCATTTGCAGCCGGTGCCCGTCACGGCTCTCAGTGATCGCCTGCTCACTCAGGTTCTCTGTGGTGCGGACTATACCATGGCCATTGATTCAGATGGCCAGCGTTTTTCAGTGAGTTTTACTGTTTTGCATACATGAACTAGGATGAGCTTACGAGTTTGCTTGCTATAGTTGGGGCATGGTCACTGGGGTCAGACACTCAAGATAACATCCTTGTTTCAAAGCTGGTTTGCGCGCTTGAAAATGACAATATTGTCCAGGCAAGTGCGGGAGCTCGTCATGCTGTAGCCTTAACATCATAAGGTGACGTTTATGCGTGGGGTGACAATGAGCAATGAGCAAGGACAAGTTTTGCCTGGAGGGAGGTGACTAAAAGAACTCAGCAATGCCTATGGTCATTTGAACCATATTTCCCTTTCAGTTTGATCGTGTTGCTCACACCATTGTTACTAAACTTGTCGCAAATAAGTTCCAACAGCCGGAGAGCATACGATTGTAGCGTTTGACTGCGATGACAAAGCAATCGTCGACACTGATTGAGTAAGCTTCAAGTACTTTCAGCTGCAAACGTTACGTTTTGTTTCACAGCCTACAAGGAGATGAAAAGAAGATGCATAGAATTGATAAACACGGAGCAGGATTGCGGGCGTTAAAATTTCCTTGCCTCCATATTTTGTTTGAAGTGAGCTTTTCTTCTACCTGGGCCTTCAATTTGTTTGCGTTTGAAACAGGAAACAAGGTTATTGCATAGTTTGGAAAGTGTACTTTCCTCGCCTAAGTTCTTAACCATGTCTTTCAAATACAGGAATTTAATGAGTAAGCATGAACTACCATCAGGAGAAAATAAATCATCTTCTCTGCATGCCGAGTGGATCTTTATTTAAAAGCACCGGCAATGATAAGTTATTATACTTTATAAAAATCATGTTTTTTTTTTAAATTTCATTTAACAATTATATATTTCATAAAGTAAAGTCTATAATTATTGCAAAAAGTTAGAACACCAAGGAATATTCATTTTGCAAAAATGTTCCGCTCAAATAATTCAGTCTGTCCAAGTTAAAAAGCTATGGAAGGAATCCAAAAGTTTGCTGTCCATGGCAGCACTGCCAATCCCAGCGTGCACATCCCTCCTCGTACTCGTCGTCCTCCTCGCGCTGCTCCTGGATGGCAGCGCCGGCTACCCGGAGATCTTCGATCGCGGCATCCCCCGCGCAATCGCCAGCAACTCCCGCGTCCTGGTGAGCAGCGCCCTGGCCACGCTCGTCAGCAACATCCCCTACACGCCCCACGCCCCGCGCTCCTTCTCCGACACCATCACCGTCGACGGCCACCGCGTCTTCCTCCGCCTCTGGTTCTTCACCAGCGACTGCCACGCCACGCCCGCCGCCGACAACACCATGCCCGGCTTCATGCTCATCAGCGCCTTCCGCGACCTCCACGACGCCGTCGCCAATTCCCTCTTCGCCTGGGGCTACAGCTTCATCACTGCCATCGACGGGCGATTCGGCATGGAGTACGCCGTCGAGGAATCGCTGGATCCAGGCAGCAGCAGCAGCAGCAGCATTCCCCCCTTGCAGCGCATCGATTCCTTCCCCTACACCTGCTTTCCTTACGGCAGTATGATCCAGAGCGGCCCAAGGCCGCGCTTATACTCCAAGCTTCTCGCCACCCAAGCTCTCTCGTCTCCAAACGGACTATACAGGCTCGCCATGGAGCGAAGCTGCGAGGCCGTGCTCTACGCTGGAGCCGACAGGATCTGGGCCTCCCCGACCAGTGACAAGGGAAGCGGCTGCTTCCTGCTGGTCCAGCAGGATGGGAATCTAGTGATCGACAATGACGAGGTCTGCTTTTGGGCGACCAACACCTTTGTCTCCGGCTACAAGCTCGTGTCGTCGATTCTGGCGCTCCAGGATGATAGGAACTTGGTCTTGTATAGAAGTGACGAGCAGATCCCTGTCTGGGCTTCGAACACTGAAGTGTAAGAGCTGGTTTTCTCCGTAACTTGTGGCCGCGATCGAGAAATAAAAATGGATGATCCGGGCATGGTGGTGGTCACCTTGGAGATTTACGGACTCGCAAGAAATCGTCCATGTGTTGGATCATAACCGGGGGCCATCGCCGGATCCTCTTGAGCCAGTCCGTGTCTTTGTAGCGCTCGCAGCCGTCGAAGAGCCTGCCCGAGTTTATCTTCTCGCAGGCAAACTCCCACTCGTCCTCGGCTTCGTTGGCTCGGCCCTGTGAAGTTTCGAAAAGATGGTAGCGATGAAATGAGATCCTGGAGATCGAAGCTCTCACCATGGACCAGTACACGGCCGCGAGTGCCGCTCGCATGTCGATGCTTCCGGGAGCTCTTCGTGCCACTGCTAGCAACTCTTTGAGTCCATTTGCTTCATCGCCAACCTGATTGAAACATTCTCAAAGTTAGAGTTTCTCGATGATCGATCGGTGGGAGATGGAAGCCAAATTACCTGGATACGCATGAGAGCAGCGTTGGCTTTCGCGTAGATGGCCCCGTCCAGCTCCCTTGCATCCTGGAAAGCCTGCCAAGATCATACACATATAACTCTAAACTTTAGAAAGATCGAGCAGCTCTCGAGCAAGCAAAACGAAGAGTTTTATGATCGATCGATGCTCTCACGTCAAAGCTTGCCGAGTAGTCGCGCAGTGCCTCCTTGTACCGCCCAAGCGAAGCGAGAGCATTCCCTCGGCTGTTCATCACGTATGGATCCCGATACCCAGTCGCGGCTCTTCCTCGTTGCAAAGCTTCCGTGTAATCCGCGACCGCGTTGCTCCACTGCGCCAGCCCTTCGAAAGCCAGCGCTCGTCCGGAGTAAGCTCGATAGTTCCCTGGCTGCCTAAGCCACGAATCCTCTAAGATCACAAAGAAAAAAAATCCTCAGTACCTGCGAATCGCTTCATCGAAATCGGCCACCGCTTCCTCGAATCGCTTGGCATCCACACGAACCTGCGCGAGAGAAGAAGCTCGAATCGATCTTCCAAGAAAGAATCTTACCTGGCCTCGCCCTTCTAGCCACGCGGTCCTGGCGGGATCCATGGCGACAATGCGGTCGAAAATCCGGCACGCGCGATCCAAGCTCGTTGCGCGATCAGGGTTTTCTGGATCCAACCCTCGTCCCCATTCCTCCTGGGCTTCCTGGACGAGCGCCCTGATGCCCGCCGCGCTACCCGCCTCGATCGCTCTAGCGGCGCCGCCAACGATCTGGGTAGTGAGAATTCCCGACGCCAGCAGGAGATCTCTTCTCTTTCGTCCAGCCCCTCCACCGGAGCAATCGCTGGCGCTACATCGAATTCGCGAAGAGGATTTGGGCAAGCAAAGCACTGGCCATGGTCTTTCTAGCGCTATCGCGGCAGCCATTATCACAGCCATTATCACAATACAATGTGATGATTAGCTCTAGAAACGCGCGAGGAATGATACAACTAAACGCGGAGTGATCGAGCGATCGATCACGTGGAAATCGATGGCGATCGATCCCAGGGTAGATGGAAGCTAACATAGAATCGATTGATTGATCAGCAAAGAACTAGATCTCTCTCGGCAGCGCAAAAAAATGGCGCCAGCCTCGAGCTAGAGGAGAATTGGGAAGGAGAGATCTATAAGATTTTGTTCTTGTTTGTTCTACTGGATGGCGATGGTCATGACGGTGTCGTGCTCCTTGGGGACGGTGATGGTGAGGATGCCGTTTGTGAAGGTGGCCTTGATCTCCTTGACCTTGGACGGGAACTTGAAGACCCGCGAGAAGGTGGCTGCGCGGAGCTCCTTCTGGCGGAACTTGGCTTTGGCGTCGTCCTTGGGCAGCGGCAGCACGTCCTCGCGCTCGCCCGAGAGTTGCAGCGCCTGATCGCCCATCTTCTGGAGCTTGATGCCCGACTTTTCCACTCCTGCGATCGAGAGAGCCAACCAGCCATTAGCAACGAAAGCGCAACGAAAGCGCAACGAAAGAGGAATTACATCGAAGAATGGAAGTGTTAGTCACGCGCTCTAGATTGATGGAAAGCGAGCAGCGGAAGAGAAATTCGAAGAGAACAACCGATCTATCCGGAAGACAAAAACTCTGAGAAATGGAAATCGTTGGATCACAATAAGAATTCCGAAGAAGAAAACGAGAAGAACAAAACAATGCCGAGCAATCTGGATTGGTGGAAAGAGGCGAGCAAAGAACAAAAGAATTTCGCGAGCCGAGCAAAGAACAAAAGAATTTCGAAAAATGGAGAGAACGAGCGAAAGAAAGAACAAAGATCGCGACAACAAGAGGAATGGAAATGGTTAGATCGCTAGATAAAGAAAGAAAACGAGGAAGATTAGAAATCCCATTCGCGACAACAAAGAGAAGGTTACATCGATTCAGCAAAACGATCGTTAGAACGAGCAACGAGTCAGAGTTAGTGGACCAGGGTCAGCGAATGTCAGCGGGGGTCAGCGATGTCCGAGAGAATAGAGATGCAACGCAAGGGGAGAGATTTTACTACCGGGCAGCTCGACAGCGATGATGTGGCTCTCGGATGTCTCGAGCCAGGAGACGTGGAGCTTGAATTTCTGCTCCTTCTCCTTCCCGTACCGCTCGTACCTCTCTGCGCAAGAAAGAACCAAGAACATAAAGATCGACATCCAAAATCTCTGTGCATGCGATCGAAAGACACCGGCCTTCCTCCTCCTCTTCGATCATGGCCTTCTCCATCGCCTTGAAGATGTTCTCCGCCATGGATTCTGCGAGAAAGAAGGCGGAATCGATCAGGAAAGGGAGAGAACACCAAGAAAGACAGCGATTATCCAAGAAACAAGGCGCAATGCGAAGAGAATGAGTAGAGATTTCGAGAGATCGAGGGAAGGAGACCTCCAATCGGGGGCGCGTCGCTCGCATCCTCGTCGCGCTTGATCGTCGACCTCACTCGGAATGGCAATTGCTGGAGAAGCGTCGGCATTGCTAGAAGATCGATCGAGAATTTCGCGGAGAGAAGAGAGATCCTAGAACCAGTAGGGCAGCGCTCGGGCGAGAACACAGACCACGTCCCAGGAGAGACGCTATATAGCACCAGCGGAGCTCCCTGCGTCGTCGATCTCAAGAGGCACGAGCGCGCCACGTCTCACCCGCGTGATGTGAGCTGTCTTGACGGAATATTACGGCGTGACACCGTGGCGAACGGCACATGCCCGCGAATCTGGGCGACTGTATCAAGCGCTGTCAAAGCTTCGCTGACGCGCTCAATCTCCACGACGCAGCCAGCCCGTGGATCGATTCCACCACCAGCCAGGGAGTATATCTCTCGAATCTTCTCATACAGATGTACGGACGGTGTGGCAGCGTGGAGCTCGCAAGGGCGGTGTTTGATTCCATGGAAGCCCGGGATGTATATACCTGGAATCTCCTGATCGCAGCATATGCCCAGAACGGGCATCTGCGGTGGGCATCTGCGGTGTTTGATGCCATGCCCGATCGAGATGTGGTGTCTTGGAACTCGATACTGGCGGCGTATGTTCGTGTCGGAGATCTTGATCGAGCGAAGCAAATCTTCGATCGAATGCCGGACAGGGATGTGGTGTCATGGAATGCGATTCTCACTGCAACGATCAGCAGCGGGAGCTTGATCCAAGCAAGACGAGTTTTCGATGCGATGCCCGAGATGGATATGGTGTCGTGGAACTTGATGCTCACAGCATATGCGAATAACCTGCATTTGAAACCTGCGGAAGCGATTCTCCGCTCGATGCCTGAGTGGGATGCCGTCTCGTGGAACGCGATGCTGGGAGCATATGCCCAAGGAGGGAATCTCTGTGGTGCAGAATATGCGTTTGCGGGAATAAGATACCGGAATCTGATCTCCTGGAACGCCATGCTTGCAGCATATACCCAAACCGGGCATCTGGAAGAGGCACAAGCGTTGTTTGATCGAATGCCGGAGCGAAACCTGGTCTCGTGGACGACGCTCCTGACGGCATATTCTCAGGCTGGGCATCTCCAGATCGCAAGGAGAATCTTCGACGGCATGCCGGATAGGAATCTCGTCTCCTGGACCGCGATGCTGTCCGCATATGCCCAGGAAGGGAATATCCACGAGGCAAGGCGCTTGTTCGATCTCATGCCCGACAGGAGCACTGCCTCGTGGAACGCGATGCTCACGGCATATTCGCAGAATGGGCATCTTCGTGAAGCCAAGCTCGTCTTTGATTCCATGCCCAATCGTGACGTCATTTCCTGGAATGCAATGCTGGTTGCATATGCTGAGAACGGTCGATTCGAAAACGCGAGAGAACTCTTTAATTCCATGCCCGGAAGGAATCTTATTTCTTGGAGTACAATGGTAGCGGTGTGCTCGCAGCTGGGACGCTTGGAAGATGCCAGAAAGATCTTCGGTGAGATGCCCCATACGGACATCGTAGCCGCCACAGCGATGATCACAGCTTACGCAAACAAGGGGCAACTCGAAAATGCAAGATGCTTTTTTGATTCCATACAAGAGAAGAACGTAATCTCAAGAAACGCGATGCTAGCAGCATATACCCAAGCCGGGCATATAGAAGATGCTGAGAAGATCTTTAACTCTATGCCCGAAAGAGCGATCGGATCGTGGAACGCGTTGCTAGCCGGCTATGGCCAACACAGAAAAATCTCTAAAGCAAAAGAAACGTTTGATCAAATGCCCGATCACGACTTAATCTCGTGGAACGCTATGCTTGCAGTGTATGCCCAGTGCGGGCATTACAAACTCGCGCAAGACTTCTTCACTAGAATGCCCGAGCGAGATCTTGTCTCGTGGAACTGTATGCTCGGAGTGTTTGCTCACAATGCGGATCCAAGCGATGTGCTAAACTACTTCCAGGCCATGAAACTGGAGGGCGTCCAGCCGGAGCAAATCTCTTTCACTTGCGTTTTGCTCGGCTCGAGCCACTCGGGCGACGTCAAAGTGGCTTCCAACTTCTTCGTTTCGATGCTGGGCGATCACCAGGTCTCGAGAACAAAGCAGCACTACGGCTGCTTGATCGACATGCTTGGGCGAGCGGGATACGTTCGCGACATGAGAGATCTCATCGCCCATATGCCTTTCGAGCCGGATTTCCACGACTGGGCGAATTTGCTGGGGGCTTGTAGGCGTCACAGCCGCTCGGACTTCGCAGCCCATGCTGCTCGATCGGCGATCAACGACGAGAATTGCAACGCCGGGCCTTACGTAGCTCTGGCAAACATCATAGAACACAAGTTTTGAAAGAAAAAAAAAGGTTTTGACCTCCGTAGAGAAGAAGCTTAAGCTGGGTTACTCGACTCCCCTGATTCCAGGCTCTTTCTGCGCTTCTTCTTTACGTCTTGGAGCTCATCCTCTTCCAGCTTCTTCTTCGTGTTTTCATCTTTTGGCTCTGCAGCTGGAAAGGAACAACGTAACTTCGGTCTCTCGTTCCTCGAACTCACCTTCAGGCTTTCTTGGCGCCGCTTCCGGAGTTCTCGTGCTTGTCTTTTCCGGAGTTTTCGTGCTTGTTCCGGCCCCTGCGAAAGAAAGAAGATTTAGAGCTAAATTCGCAGAGAAAAACAAGAATGCGGCTGCCACCAACCTTGCTTCGCTGCCTCTCTCGCTCTCCTCTCCTCCTCGCGAACCTCCGCCTTCGTCTTCGTGTGAATTATCGTCACCATCGCGCAAAGAGTGTCTCGACTCCACTCGCAACAGTTTCAAAAAAAGAAGTTTTTATACTACGAGACAATGCCTTGCTCCCCAAGCAATGGACGCGTGACGAATATACCAGGACCGGACAACGCTTGCGTTTGACGCTACACAGTTGTGGGAGTAACGAAGAACACCTGTTTATACATTACACGAAAAGAACACTACAAGCTCTACAAGCTCTACGCTAATAGAAGCAAACAAGCAGTCAAACAGGCAAAAATTCACCCAAGAATGCAGTAAACTAAGGACCTTGTGACGACGATGCGAAGATGCATCAGTAAGCTCTTACCCATAAACTCCTGTCAGCGTCCATCCGGATTGTTAGCGTCTATCCCTGCGCTGCAGTAGCCACCGGAGTCGTGTCGGTTCCCAGCTTCTTCTTCAGATTTTCCTCGTTTGATGTCGCCGCAAACCTGTGCCAACAAAGAGCAGTGAGCCACAGAAGAGAAAAAAATGGAAAAACTCGAAGCGAGCACTACGTACCTCGCAGCTCTTGCCTTCTTCTTCTCGGCTTCTAAGTTGGAATCTACTCCAGAGAATCGATCAAGCCGGGCCCTTTTCTTGGCGTCTTCGTTGGCGCTCGCAACATTGGCGGTTCCAAACCTCGCAGCCCGGGCATTCTTCTTCTCCGTCTCTGATTCAATCGAAACTTTAGCTTTCGACACACCTTTCTTATCACTGGCGTTAAACCTGCAAGCCAAGATATTAGCCTGGAATGCAAAGAAACAAAAAGGATGTGAGCTCTTTCTTACCTTGACGCTCGCAATTTGCGCTTCTCATCCTCGCTGAAATTCAAGCCCACGCCAAAGCGCTCGGCGCGCCGCTGCTTCTTCTCCATGTCCGAGAGGGGCCCCGGAGATTCCAGACAAACCACTCCCTCCTCCTTCCCCCCATTCTCTACCGACACGCCATCCCGAGAATTCCCATCCGCGGCCTCAACCTGGCCATTGCCGCTGTCCTCGGCTTGAATTTGCGCCGCCGCTCCGCTCTCACTTCCCACCGCATCGTTTACCTCCGGCGACGAGCCCTGCTCTACCTCCGCCGCCACCGCTGCCGCCGCCGCCTTGCTCTGTGCCTCCTCTTCCGGAGCTGCGGAAGAACTCATTCCTAGATCGCAATCCTAGAACCTACGCGCCCAAGCCGCAAGGATCCCGAAACCCTTGATGTTCTAGGGCTTCTCGCAAACGAATATCCCTTGCCAAGTCAGCACGCCCTAAATACTTTCCACGTCAGGCAGCATATGCTCGGAATCGTTCTAGTTTAGTGCCAGATGAAAAGATTCTCGAACTCATGGGAAGATATGCCGAGAGATTCCATTAGCTTACGTGGCTCGCCAATGGCGACTTTTAAAGATATAAGCGCGTATGTGTGGGTTTTTAGGTCTTCTCATTTTGCCCTGTGAAGGCGCTCGCGAGGAACAGTGGAGTGGAGGAGAGGGGAATCCATTCGTTTCTTCTTCTTGGCCTCCAGCAGCTCGGGGCGTCCTCGGTGGTTCCTCCATTCTGTGTGGATCGCCAGTGGAATTTTCGCCTCGTTGGGTGCCCCTCCTCTCCTAGGGTTTCTCTTAGGGTGGCTTCTTCCTCGAATTCTAGCTGCGGCAAGCGGCTACCCAGCTCCATTTCCGGTCCTCCGCTCTCCGATCCGCCGATCGGGGCATTTCTTGCCATTCGCGCGACTCGCGATTGATATGCTGAGCAATCCGGCGGACTGCTGCCTCCATGGTTTCCAGGGCGCCGTGCTAAACGAAGTTGGCTGATCGATGGAGGGATAAAGACGAGGAAGAATGCACAGGTTTGTGGGACGCGTGGAATTTTTGTGATGAAATGAGGGATGCTGGCACGACTGTCGAAGATGGTAGTAGGATGCTGGAAACGCGTTGAGCAGTATGTCCATATCGGCGCCACGGTTCCCAGTCGCAACGATGCTCTCCTCTGGTTCCACGACATTGGGAAGCACGCATTTGGCGACTTCTCCATAGCTGTAGTACAGGCGAACTCCATACTCGAGGATCACACCCAGATCGAGACCGGGCCTGGCAAAACTTTCGTTGGCGTCTACGATGGACACGGCGGCCCGGAGGCGGCTCAGTATATCAACAACCATCTCTGGCAAAACTTGCAAAGTGTGTGCTCGATTCTTTTGCTGTATGGTAGTCTCTTACTCCTCTTCTTCCAGGGCTTGCTTCGCAGGAGGGTGACTTCACGAGCGATGTTTTGCGAAGAGCGATCTTGTCAACCGAGGATGGTTTCGAGAGATACGTCGCTGGCTCCTGGGCATTAAGACCACAGATCGCGACGGTTGGATCGTGCTGCCTCGTCGGGTTGATACGAGGGAACCAACTGTTCGTCGCCAACTTGGGCGATTCGAGGGCGGTCATGGGAACTTTCCTGGGACGGGATAACAGGATCACAGCGATTCAGCTCTCTGCTGAGCACAATGCCAGCATAGATGCCGTGCGTCAGGAGCTCAAGGACTTACATCCAGACGACTCACACATTGTCGTTCTCAGGCATGGAGTCTGGCGTGTCAAAGGGATAATCCAGGTAAGTCCTCAACTTGGTAGCTCGAGAGAGTGTTTCTAATCCTATTTTTTGCTTGATCCCGCAGGTGACCAAGTCCATCGGTGATGTGTACCTAAAGAAAGCGGAATTTAACAGGGAGCCACTTATCGCTCGGTTTCGCCTTCCACAGCCACTAGAGAGGCCTGTGCTGACTGCGGAACCATCGATCAGTGTCTTCACCCTCAGACCAGCGGACCAGTTTTTGATATTCGCGTCGGACGGGCTGTGGGAGCACTTGTCCAGCCAGGAAGCCGTAGACATTGTATACAGCCATCCTCGAGCAGTAAGCTTTCCTTCTCTTTGCTCGTTTTTTGGTGCGACTCAAACTATAGCTGGACTGAACGGTTTGTTTTCCAGGGGATCGCGAGGCGACTGATCAAGGCTGCGTTGCAAGAGGCGGCCAGGAAACGAGAGATGAGATACTTGGACTTGATACGCATCGAGCGCGGCGTGAGGCGGCATTTCCACGACGATATAACTGTGGCGGTGGTGTTTCTTGACAGGGAGATGGTGATCTCTGGAGGCTCGAGGAGTATGAGCCCCTTGTCCATAAGAGCCGGGGGCGAGAGCGCGGTGGCAGCAAGAGCTAATGGAGCTACTGGAGTGTAAATTACGATTAATTTTTCACAAAAACGCTATACAAAAAGATTCGAACATTCCATTTCTGGTGGACCCTTGGAACAATGCAGTATAAACCCTAATATACAAATGCTGAAAAGGGCTTTTGGTACAGCAAAGCTATGGCAGATCATCAAGAACACACTGGTGGTGGCAATTCTACTTTCTGGCAAGCGATGTGGAATTCTTTCATTGTGTTATTTGGTATATTGATTTCTTTTTCTTTTTCTCTTTGGGTTTTTATTAGCTCTTTTTGATCAGGTGTATCAACCTTGGCTAGCCCATACAGCATGGTTACTTCTGGCTATGTTGGGGTTGGCATTTGCATTGGCATTGGATTATTTTATTGGTGTGGAGTGCTCCTGATGATAGGATGCATGCAATATAGTGGAGATATCTCACGTTACACTCTGATTGCTTCCACAGCATTTCCCAGATGGGGGCGATTAATCACAAGCTTACTTTTCTACTTGGAAACATTATGCACGCTTTTGGGATTTCTAATTGCAGTGGGGGATTTAGCACAAAGTATTCCAACTCATTTGCATCACTTTGGGTTACTAAACACAAGAGAGTTTGCAACATTTGTTGCTATGGGGGTTATCGTTCCTGCGACTTGGTTCGAGAAGTTATCTACAGTCTCCTTTTTCTCGTTGTGTTGTACACTTGGGCTCTTATTTGTCATGGCATTGACCATTTACATCGGGTTCTTTGATGGGGTTGGATTCAAAGCCCGAATTCCACTTGTTCGAACTTCACAGATATCAAAGTCCATTGGAATTTATTCTTTTGGCTATGGATCAGCTCCAATTTATCCAAGCATCTATTATTCAATGAGAAACCAAGGATCTTTCACACTGGTGCGTTATTTTGTAAACCAATATTCATGGAAGTGTTGCACTTCTTTTCAGGTACTCTCAATTGCTTTTGGAGTGTTCACAGCTGTATTTTTACTCTTTGGATTATTGGGAAGCTTTATGTTTGGGTTCACTACAGCCCCTTTGATCACTCAAAACTTACCAAGTCATTTGCTGGCTTCAAGGTTTGTTCATTAGATTTTCTATATTAGTCTTTTTAGATTATATAGTATGTGGTTTCAGGCTTGCTATCTGGGTATCTTTTGTTATTCCAGTTTCTAAATTTCCACTTCTTATGCATCCTATAACATCGGATGTCCATGAAATTATTGCAAGGAAATTCAGTATTCAGCCAAAGAGCCTTGTGTCTATAGTGATAAGAGTTGTTGTGAGCTCTTTTACTACTCTCGTGATTATGGCTATTGCGCTGGGCCTTCCTAAATTTGCTGGTATTATCGAGTTTGTTGGGTCATCCATTGACATGCTACTAGGAGTAATTTTGCCTATAGTTTTCTATTTGAAGATCTATCAGTTTACACTACCAAGAGCACACATGGTTGGACTTGTAATCATGTTGTTAGTGGGGATTTGTTTGGCAGTAACTGGCACAATTGCTTCTATTAAAGACATCTTGGCTTGATAGCAAAATAAAACATTCGAAAATATTATGTTCAAGAGGCTTTGCTCAAGCTAGCCAGCAACCTGCGCTTGTAGCTGTTCAAAACCGGTTTATGGATCTAACTTGTCTTCCTTTTCAGTGACTATTTGAAAGCAAACAAAGAAGGTACGTAATGCCAGCCAATGCACATTAACATCATGTTCCTACTTTACAAGAATCCTTCTCCCTGCTGTTCCCACTGGCAGAGCTGATTGGTTAGCAGCAGCAGCACCTTTTTTTTAAGTCCTCGTCCAGATGACCAGGCTTATATACCTCGTGGAGGCTGTCGAAGGCAGTACGTCCGACGAAACGTCACCGGCATAGACAGGAAGGAATTGCTGGAAGCTTATAGAGACCGTCCAAGCGACTGGGAAGAAGCTGCTGGCATCGTAAGACGGGGACTCGCGAGCGAACAGGAAATTTACTGGAATGAATGGAGAGAGAATTGGCCTGTGTTCTCGTATGGTGGCTCTCAGCAAGATCATAGCATCAGCGAGTGCGCCTCTCCGCATGTCGGTTTCCGCGCCAGAAATCTCGAGGCTTCACGATGAAGAACACTGCTTAACGACACGCCAGCTCCAACACCAAGATCACAAAAGAGAGGAGCGCGTCGCCCAGTGGACTCCCACTATCTCGTTCGTTATAGCTCGCTCAAAGCTTGAGGCTGGCTTGAGGTTAAGTAGAATCTTTTTTCTCTCCCTCTCTTGTTTATAAAGGAACGATTATAATGCTCTTCTTCTTCCTAAATTCCTGCCAAATCCAGGTTTGCTTTGAAAGCTATGCTCAGGTCGTATTTTCCTTCACTGTGTCCTCGAGAGCTGCAGTTTTAAACTGCTTCGTAGCGTTTCCATTTTTCTCTTAAAGAATGTTTAGATTGGCAGGGTGGTGGATGATTTCGAAAGCAACAGGGGGATTTGACTCGTGGTTGTAGTGATCTCTTCGTAAACTTTCAAGGAACAATTTTCGAGTTCCTTCCAGCTGGAAAGGTGCAACATTCTTTCTCTTGTCTGACACTGGCTTCATCGAGGATCGAACTGGAGACTTACACTGATGTGATGACAAATTGACCAATAACAAACAAAACAAACACACAACAAAAGAATGAAGAAAAATATCCACATTAAGTTCTTCATCTGTTCTTTAGAAATTGGAACATTCAATGCTGCCGTCTTCTTTTCAAAAAACTACTTTCAATTTCTTGATCTTTACGTGATTTTGAAACAGGAAGGTGACGGCTGTTTTCAATAGGATAGGGTTGACTGAGAAGCTTTGAATCCTCAAAATGACCCCAAGCCTTGTCCAACACGTTTGTTTGTCATTTGCTGCCGTCTTTCTATTGCTAGAACCGATTTACATAAGAGCAAGGGATATCCATGGTGAAAGTTTGCAGTGTTTCATGTGTTGTTGCAAGGAATCCAGGCCCTAACCGCATAATGGATGCGGATCAAAAGCTGGGATTCTATGTGAGAAGTATCTTCTCCTATGGGCCAGAAACTAAGACTTTGGATGTGGATCGCCTCAAATCATCTGTGGCTGAGGTATTGGGTTCATATGATTTCTGGGCTGGAAGGCTGCACTTCAATGAACATGGGCGTATGGAGATCAGCTGTAGCAACCAGGGAGCTTTTTTCACGTTTGCAACGTGTGATCTTAGCTTGGATCAAGTGACGCTGATCACTTTGATGCAAGATTAAAACCTAGACTATGTTGACTTCTGTTGACTTGAACTCAACTCAAAAATTACCCAGCCCCTGTGGCATGAGCTTGTTGCCTACAAGTAACTCGTTTCCTTGATGATGGCTACGCAATGTCGGTATTGTTCCACCACACTTTGGTTGATGCAACCTCTGGTATCAATTTCCTGCTCAACTTTGCATCCATCAACCGGGGAGATGGTCTCTATATAAGACCAAATGGAACTTAAATACCGAGATCCACCGCGGGTGAGCTTCGAGCACAAAGAGCTTTCTAAACAGATACCTCTCAATGGTGGCCACAGTATCTACACTCTCACCGAGGAGTCTGTGATTAGCTCCGAATCGAAGAGGAAAACGGCTTCAAAAATTGAGAGGAAGACCTTTCTCTTCACGTTTGACAAGCTCAAGCAAGCTGTTCTGGACGAAGGAATCTTGAGCGAGGGATCTGGCAGCTCTGATTTGGCGATCCCACGCTCGATCCATCCTAGGCAAATCCAGCAGCGATGTTCTTCACTTTGGATTCACAGTTGACATTCTGGATCCTCCATTGGGTGAAAACTTCTGCGGTAATTCGATATATCTAGCGCATACCGAGCTCTCACTCGCGGATCTAGGCGAGCTTCCACTCTCCTCCATCGTTGCTCTAATCCAGGAGGCGAAAAAGCGATTGACAAATGAGTCTGTTCGTTCTGCACGGGATTTTCTCTACCTCAATCCGAACTTCTGGTACCAGCCATGTGAGACGACGATCAACGCTTGGCCGAGGCTGATGCGAAAGTCTTTGGAACTCGACTTTGGTTGGGGAAAGCCATCACGAGTGGAGTGTGTTATAAGCTCTTCAAAGGGGGCAATTGCAATGGGATTCATAGGAACTGCGGAAATCCCAGAACTCCGATTTCCTGCAAAAAATAATTGGGACATGTAGGGAAGCTTTCTCGGCTTCTTTTCTTGAATTAGCGTTTACACTCTTCTCCATGCCCTTGTCATACCTGATACTCGAGCTTTGAATCTGTGGCTTAGAGCATCACCTCATTGTCTTCGTGCTTTAAAAGGTGGCAGTGCCAACTACATGGGGGGATTGTTGGAGATTACCAATACCATGTCATAAAACAAGCGGTATATGCTCAAATATCATCACAGTATAATATCAAAGGTTGTGAGCCTCTTTAGTTTTTGCCTTTGAAGGTGGGACAATGGACGCTAGCAAAGAAGAGGCTAGCAAGGAGGATGAGTCTTGCTGAGTGCCAGGATTAGAGTGGCTTAGTGCATGTGTAGGGGTTGCTGCATAACTTGCACTAGGTTATTTAGGGAAGTTTGTGATTGACTATTTTAATGATATTGTAATGTTTAACTCTACACATAAGATGCATATATAAAATGTTTTGCAATTTTTGAAAGACAACAAACTTTATTCAAAATTATCTAAATGTAAGTTTTTTTAAGAGAGATTGGATCTTGGCATTTAATTTATATGCATGGTGTGAGAGTTGATGGGCTTCTTCCTCGAATTCCAGCTGCAGCAAGCGGCTACCCAGCTCCATTTCTGGTCCTCCGCTCTCCAATCCGTTGATTGGGGCATTTCTTGCCATTTGCATGACTCGCAATTGATATGCTGAGCAATCTGGCGGACTGCTGTCTCCATGGTTTCCAGGGCGCCATGCGAAACGAGGTTGGCTGATCGATGGAGGGATAAAGATGAGGAAGAATGCACAGGTTTGTGGAACGCGTGGAATTTTTGTGATGAAATGAGGGATGCTGGCACGACTGTCGAAGATGGTAGTAGGATGCTGGAGAGTATGTCCATATCGGCGCCACAGCTCCCAGTCGCAACGATGCTCTCTTCTGGCTCCACGACATTGGGAAGCACGCATTTGGCGACTTCTCCATAGCTGTAGTACAGGCGAACTCCATACTCGAGGATCACACCCAGATCGAGACTGTACCTGGATTATCCCTTTGACACGCCAGACTCCATGCCTGAGAACGACAATGTGTGAGTCGTCTGGATGTAAGTCCTTGAGCTCCTGACGCACGGCATCTATGCTGGCATTGTGCTCAGCAGAGAGCTGAATCGCTGTGATCCTGTTATCCCGTCCCAGGAAAGTTCCCATGACCGCCCTCGAATCGCCCAAGTTGGCGACGAACAGTTGGTTCCCTCGTATCAACCCGACGAGGCAGCACGATCCAACCGTCGCGATCTGTGGTCTTAATGCCCAGGAGCCAGCGACGTATCTCTCGAAACCATCCTCGGTTGACAAGATCACTCTTCGCAAAACATCGCTCGTGAAGTCACCCTCCTGCGAAGCAAGTCCTGGAAGAAGAAGAGTTAGAGACTACCATACAGCAAAAGAATCGAGCACACACTTTGCAAGTTTTGCCAGAGATGGTCGTAGATATACTGAGCCGCCTCCAGGCCGCTGTGCCCATCGTAGCGTCCTCAACTTGGTAGCTCGAGGGAGTGTTTCTAATCCTATTTTTTGCTTGCTCCCGCAGGTGACCAAGTTCATCGGTGATTTGAAGAGATATGCGGACGCTACGATGGACAAAGATGACTTGAAAGATAGTCGATATATAACATCACAGCTTCCACATATCTCTTCATGGTATCGGAGCCCTGAGGGGCTCCAGATCCTGGGATGATGGTGCTGGCTGAAGAGGCTAGCGAGGATGACAATGCCCGGACGTGGCTGAGAGGTGCCAAGATTTGGCACTGCGCAAGGTGCTAGGGCGTGATTGAGCAGAGACCGGCCCGGAGGCTCTGGCAGAGGCGCTGAGAGAGGGCTGGTGCGAGGCACCAAGCAGAGGTGAGCGTATTTCTCCAAGCAGCATCTATTTTGAATTTCAAAAATCCTTGGATTTGCTGGAAAATTGGTAAAAATGTGTGCGAACTTTCACATTTGTTCTCACCTCTTCTAAGAGATCAATTTAAAAGTCATACATTTATGAGATACATCTGTCAATTTTTTAATGGCTTCATTACTAACAACAATATCATTTTCTTTTTATAATGAAAAATTCTCTTTTCTTAGCCGTGATCTTCATCAGAGGGAACAAGGACAAGAGGTTGTTTCATCTCTTTGTCTTCGTGCTCCAAAATGTGGCAGTGCCAATTTAGACGCTGGAATCAAACAACTACCGTGGGCCATAGTTTGGCGATGTAACCGTGTTGGCGGCTGTGTCCTTGAGGCCGAGTTGTCTGGCCGGACAGCTCCTGGTATGCAGGCAGCAAGGTTGAAAGCTTGGCTAGCGACAATGACAAAGTTGGCGAAGTGGAGATGGATTGGATGGCTGGTGGGGAGGACACCAAGATTAAGGATCCGCGCTCAGTGGGATTCTGACCAGCCATCATGGAGAGAGTTGTGGTTTTTCACACAAAGCACGCTCGCTAGTTGGAAGAACTCAGGGACAGTGTAGAACAAACTGGAACTGAAGCTGGAAATAGGAACTGGTGTAGCGATGCCTGGAGTTTGACATAGGTCAAAGCTTGAGCCTGCACAAATCAAGCTTACTCCTTTGAGCCTGCACTAACTTTTGAGGTAAAACCTTAATGCTAACCGTGACTGAACGACATGCATGGTTGATGGAATTGCCAAATTTGATTTGCTAGAAATGCATGGCTTCATCGAGGTCTGAACTGGAGACATGATACCAAGTTGAAACCACTTTAATCATAATGTATTTTAAAATTTCCAATAAAATCAGCCATATCTATTATCTGTTGTTATTTCCGTCTATATACAAAGACGTTGCTACCACTTTCAAATGGGGATTCTTTAATGCTATAACCAAATAAGAAGAGTTTCCAAGCTAGAAAAACACTCTATGCTTAGTGAACTTTTAAAGTCCGGCATTTTGCATATACAATCAGAATTAATTAAAATCAGATAAAATCAAAGCAAAGAGGAATATGTTACGGATTTGCCTTGTAAATTTCCGAAGACAATAAGAAGGCATTACTTGTAGAATTGTGCTATAGCATCTTCAAAGATGCCAAGTGCAATGCCATTAGCAGAGACCGAGACTAAAATCCCATCCCAGCTAAACGGGAGGAACGCGATAACCGAGGATCGTGGATCCAGTGGAAATTCCACTCGTGATGGCTTACCCCAACCAAAGTCGAGCTCCAGGGACTTCTGCATCAGCCGGGGCCAAGCATTGATCACCGTCTCACACCGTCGGTACCAACAGTTGGGATTGAGATGGAGAAAATCTCGTCCAGATCGAACGTATTCATTCGTCACTCGTGTTTTTGCCTCTTGCACTTGAGCAACGACGGAAGAGAGTGGAAGCTTGCATATATCCATAAGTGTCAGCTCGGTATATGCTGGATAGAACGCATTGCCACAGAAGTTTTCACCCAATGGCGGATCCAGGATGTTTCTTGTATCCACTACAAATCCAAGGTGAAGAACATCGTTGTTCGATTTGCCTGGGATGGATCGAGCGTGGGCTCGCCAGATCAAAGCTGCCAGAGCCTCGAAAGTGGAGCATTCACTCAAAGGTCCTTCGTCTAGAACAGCTTTCTTGAGCTCGCGGAGCTTGTCAAACCTGAAGAGGAAGGTCTTCCTCTCGTTCTTTGGAGCCATTTTTTGCCTCAACTCCGAGCTAATCACCGACTCCTTGGTGAAAGTAAAGACACCGACCCCACCATTGTGAGGTGTTTGTATAGAAAACTCTTCGTGCTCAAAATTTACTTGTGGTGGATCCCGGAATTTAAGTCGAGTCCGGTCGCCATTTGGTAGCATATAGAGACCATCTCCCCGGTTGATGGATGCAAGGTTGAGCAGGAAATTGATAGCAGATGTTGCATCAACCAAAGCATGGTGGAACAATATCGAAATTGCGTAACCATTGTCTCCAAGCATGTGAGTCACCTGTAGAGAAAGCAGTTTAAAATCCAAGTTTCTAGCTTATATGTTTGCTGTAACTACGTACCTGGATCCTCAACAATGGAAGATCTTCCAAGGTTTTAATCTTGTCATCGTCGAAAGAGAAAAAATCATCCAAGTCATCAGCTGTCACTTGGTCCATGCCAAGACCAGAAGTAGCAAATGTGAAGAAAGTTCCTTGATTGCTACAGTCGATCTCCATACGCCCATTTTCATTGAATCTCAGCCTTCCACCCCAGAAATCATGTGAATCCAACACCTCAGCCAGGGACGATTTGAGACGATCCACATCCAAAGTCTTAGTTTCTGGCGCATAAAAGAATAGAGTTCTCACATAGTATCCAACCTTTTGATCCATATCACATAAATACATAGTACGATTGGGGCCTGGATTCTTGGGAATAACACATGAAACATTGCAAACTCTCACCATGCCTGGAGCCATGTATGTATTGCTTGAGATCTAAGAATTATGTAACGAATGACTGTTTCGAGCAACGCCTGACTTTCCTATTTTATAGCAAGATGGCAGCAAGAAAACGATGGCAAAGAAACCTGTTGGTCAAGGCTTGGACGGCAATGGTTGTCTCCGTTTTGAGGATTCAAAGCTTCTATTGAAAACAGCCGCCCCAAGTACACCATGAAACCATTTCTTTAAAATAATTTTTGCATTTTATTATGTTTCAAAAGGTGGCAGAATATTAAACGAATGGGCCTGTGAGCTCCTAGCCTAAAGAGCTTATCACGTTGAAATTCTCATATATAAATCAAAGCACAGCCATAATGAAGTGTTGGAAACTACTGAAAGTTCTATGGAGGATCAAAGCTATGTGGTGGAGATATAGCTGAGACAAAACGTATGCTCTATCCTCATGGAATAGAGCTGCCAAATGGAATGACACCACTGACGTGACAAATAAAAACATTTCTAATCTCCATTGCCGTTCTGAAGTTAGCAAACAGTTTTCTTTTCTGTCGTTTTCTTGCTGCTAGATTCCGATTGATAAGATGAGCTATAAACAGTGCAAGTCAATTTAACCAGTCTTTTTAGTTCATACATGTCTCCAGGCATGGAAAGAGTGCACTAGGAGATCCTTGAGAAACTTGTAGCAAAAACTTATATATAGTTTTCAAGAAACTCATATTAATGTGAGTATGATGAATTAAGTTTAGGATGTGTTAGTACATTAGGGTCCTTGAGCTCAGCTCATGTTTCTCCAATTGCTTTCCCATTCTCTCACACTTCCTTTCCTTACTAAATATCTTGGCTTCAGACGATATGTTAAATTCAAAGAGATTGGCATACTCAGGTCTTGGTAGGCGGCGGGGAGGCGTGAGGCCGGCGCAAATCTGTGGTTGAGCAAGACAACAAGAGCAGTGGCATCAGTGGCTACGTTCTTGCAGAAATCGTGGTACAAGGACGTGGCAGCGCTGAATCGGACGAATCCTCCACCATGGACATGGACCACAATTGGGAGCTTGCACTTGGAATTGATCTGGAGTGCTGCCGCGGGGAGATAGAGCTTGACCCACACACGACTATCGCCACTGCCGAGCTTGACATCCCGTGACGCCACACCATCTGTGAAGCTGGAATTTGCGGCAACCTTGGGGATTTCCCAGCTCTACGTGGACGCTGGCGGCTCTGTGGAATTGCCCATCATGCTCTAGCTCTCTCGCACTCCAGATCTCCAGAATCGTGCATGTGGTTTTCACCTTTTATTCTATAGTGTTTTACTATAGGATAACCATGAAGTGAACCTAAACCATCCATATGCTATGTGACACATGCCACACATCCAAAGGATAGCAATGCAGAACCTAAGTTTCAGAGCCTTGGGCCACTAAATGAAGGAATGGTGCCAAACTCTTAAGCATGAACCCAAGGAACGATGGCACTGGAGCATGGAACAACTCCTAAGCATACAGCCTAAGGAGCAAAGGGACAGAAGCGCGGAGTGACTTGGAACTGTCCTAGAGTATCTAGCATCCCAATGCCAGGACCAACATGCAAAACAGAGCCAAATGAAGTCTGGTGCTATTTCAGCATACTGGTGGCCTAACGTGAGACTCCACCATGGAATTTAGGCTTAGACCCAAGCTAGACGCAACACAAAGACAAACACGCAAGCAAGAGCTAGACTATGCCTCAAGTTGGTTTGCTATGCCCAATCTACCCACTATCCTTACTATACATTTAGAACCCCCTACAACCCCCTCTTAGCCACCTTTAGTACCAGGAGTTAGTCTCTGGGACAAGTTTGAAATTTACTAAATATGGAATGTCCGTAGATTGTGAATTTGGACATGAGATAAACACCATTGTGTTCAAGACAATCTCTACATTCCGTAGATATGCCAAATGAGAAAATCTCGACACTTTCCATAAATAATATTTAGGACAAAATGGTACTAACATAAAGGGTAGGGTGTTTGGCAAACACGGTAAGCTATCATTTAGCATTATTGAGGGACTAGTCTCAATACGCAAAGGTTCTCTTCAAGTCAATGCAAGATAGAGCAAAACAGAATTAAGAGCCAAGCCAAGCATACTCAGCAAGAAACACATAGAAGTTCCTACCTTATGTCCATCTGGCTAAATACAGGTGCTAAACACAATTTACTAACACTAATAAATGATGCTAACCAAAATGAACTTCTAATACCATGTTACATCTCATATGCACTCACACTGTATTATGCCTAAGAGCTTCTCCAGCTGTGTAGATCTTCAACTTCCTCAACTCTTGCCTATGAAACATAACAAGAAGCCACATCAGCTTCATGTTTTCAAAAGGCAGCAATGCCAATGTAGTATATTAAGGAGATGTGGTGGAATCAAACAAGTAGACAAGTGACCGCGTGACCGTGGGGCACAGTCATCATATAAAACCATGTAATAGTGCTGGTGGCAATCATGCCCATATCCTTGGCCAAGTTAATCCTACCCAAGAATGAAATTGTGTAGCTGCTGGGGGATCTGGTTACCCAAAGTGGCCAAGTTAATCCTACCCAAGAATGAAATTGTGTAGCTGCTGGGGGATCTGGTTACCCAAAGTGAAAAGAACATGAGTTCTCTAGAAAGCTTTTAATGTTAAATGAGATTGACAAAGCTGTTTAGGTGGCTCTCTACAATGAATCCCACTAAACTCTAGACCACCTAGAAATGTCCTCAAGTGAATGATCTAGCTCTCCCATCTAAGATTGTAATTATATCATGAAAGTGCTCTAAAAGGTGGCAATGCAAAATGTAATAGAAAACATAGCTAAATTTAGAAAACTTAATTAATAGTTATTCTTACTTAATTAATAGTTATTTTATCCCTATTTATCCTTTAAAGTTTTAAAGATCCACAGTTATATTTAAATCTCATCCTATTATCAGATGTGCTATATTAATAAATTATTTCTTAAGCCATTCTCTTTGATTAAAAGTCATTAGATCAAAATTGATATGGCTTCCATTAATTTAATGGAAGGCTCAAATTTGTGAAGCATCCATTTATACTTATTATTATATTGTTTGGTTGGTTGATATTACAATATTCAAGAGTCACTCAAAACATTGCCAAAACAACTTCTTCTTGCTTCAATTGACATAAAATTAATAATCCATGTATTCATGCAATTGTAGCTATTATATTTTGGAAGAAATCATACATTATTACTCAATTAAGGTATACTATGGGATATATATAAGTGTTATCTATCCTTTTGATTTGGACACAGCCACTGAGTACAAATCGTCCTCTTAGTTGTTTAAAGAAAATTCATGTATAAACAAAAACATTTGTTGAAAGAAAACAACTTTCCATTATAGACAATGCCATGAAGTTACACATATTTCATGGATTTGTCAGCAATCAATTTAATTAGTTTATTTTATTTTATTTATTTTTCCTGTGAATAGGTAAAATATTCTAGATTATTCTAGTTAAAGGGTGTTGAAAAGTTGAATAAAGATACCCCTAGGGATTATAGTTTCCAAGACTAAGCGTCAGGGAATTACTTGTGAAGGCTTACCCCAACCAGGAGCTTTTACATCAGTCGGGACCACGCTTTGATCACCATCGGTGCAGTTGGGATTGAGATGGAAAAAATCTCGTCCAGATCGAACGTATTCATTTGTCATTCATTTTTCGTCTTTTGCAGTCGAGCAACGAGTAGAAGCTTGCGGATATCCATAAGTGTCGGCATGCACCGGATAGAACGCAAGGATAAGGGTGGGTCATACCAAAATTTCAAGGTGAAGAACATCATTGCTAGATTTGCCTGGGATGGATCGAGCGTGTGTTCACCATATCAAAGCTGCCAGAGCCTCAAAAGTGGTGCAAGTCAAGGGTCCTTTGTCGAACAACTTGCTTGAGCTTGCCATTTGGGGCCTTATAGATACCATCGCCCGGTTGATCGATGCAAGGTTGTGATAATGAATGCTGCATCAACCAAAACATGGTGAAACATTATCAAATTGAGTAGCCATTACCAACATGTGAGTCACCTATGGAGAAAAGCTTTCTAAAAAACTTATGTGAGTTTTGTGGCGTACCTGGATCCTCAACGATGGAAGATCTTCCGAGGTTTTAATATTGTCATCGTCGAAAGAGAAAAAAATCATCCAAGTCATCAGCTGTCACTTGTTCCATGCCAAGATCAGAAGTAGCAAATGTGAAGAAAGTTCCTTGATTGCTACAGTCGATCTCCAGCTCCGAATCTCAGCATTCCGCCCCAGAAATCATCTGAATCCAACACCTCAGCCAGGGACGATTTGAGGTGATCCACATGCGAAGTTCTAGTTTCTGGCGCATAGAAGAAGAGACTTCCCACATAGATTCCCATCTTTTGATCTGTCTCACATAAATACATAATCCTGGAATTTTTTGCAATAACACATGAAACATTGTCTGCCGAGCCATGTCTGTATTTCTAGCTGAGAAATATGTCAAGCTCTTCTCTATAAATGTAAATTCGTTCTAGAATAGAAAGACGGCAGCAAGAAAACGATGACAAAGAAACCTGTTGGACAAGGCTTTGGCGACAATGGTTCTCAGCTTCTCATAAGTCATATTTTTTATAGATCCTCCTATTGAAAACGGCCGCCACATTCTGATGTTAAAAAAAAAACGCAAAAAATCAGTCTCCAAAGCGATAGGTATATATATCACTCGATGGTAGTGTACATTTGTCAAGGTTTTTCTTTCTCTTCTCCTACGTGATTCTTTTTTGACACGTGGCTCATTTGTTAATTTATATTGCATCTCCATCTGGACTTGAAACTTATCAACACCACTCCACACTTAGAAAAAAAAAACTTTTTTGTCTGCTTATTAACTTCTCTCTGCTTACATTCGTTGACAATATTCAACTTGATGACCCATGAAACCGTATACTTTCTCTCCGCGAGTATGAGCTCGGCTAGCGCTAGATCGATGGATCGAATTCCCGTAAATGTTTTTAAACATGATTATATCATCATTTCTTGAGGACATCCATTGACTTGATAATGTTTAAAGGCACGTTTCATTTTTAAAAGCTTCCAACAGAAGTTTTCATCCAATGGTTTCCAAAGCTAGACTACTCTTCTGTACAGTACACTGTTAATTTGGCTTGAGGATTTCAACGTGATAAGTTATTTGGAGGGCTCGTGATCCAAAAAGCACTTCGCACAGTATTCATTTGACTCTCTACCACCTTTTGGAGCATAATAAAATGCAAAAACTATTTGAAAGCACTCTCCTCCATTAGTTGCTCGACTCCGAAAGAAAACGTCATCACGTGGGAGATCCCATCTTAAATCAATGTTACCTTTATTAAATTTTCTGTGTAATATTCAATTTATTGTCAAATCGCTTAGCATTTGCACTGCCTCTTCCCTTAGCCATACTGCCTCATGATATCCAGTGGAGGGAACGACGCATTAACCATCAAAGCCCGAGTATCAGACATGACAAATGGTCGCATCATCTCATTGTCTTCGTGCTCCAACAGGTGGCAGTGCCAAATGTAGTGAGGAGACGCGGTGGGATCAAACGAATACCGGGTGCCATAGTTTGGCGATGCTGTCACGTAAAACCACGTAACCGTGCCAGCAGCGATCACGCCCGTGTCCTTGAGGCCGAGTTGATCCTGGTCGGGCCCTTGGAGTGGAGCCGTGTAGCAGCTCCTGGGATCCGGGTAGCCGAAGTGGAAAGAACACGAGTTCTCCAGAAATCTTGTAACGTTGAAAGTTTGGCTAGCGACTATGAGAAAGTTGACGAGGTGGAGATGAATTGGATGGCTGGTCTGGAGGACATTGATGAAAACCCAAACTTCGTCGGAGTAGAGCTTCATAACCTCAGTAGCCGGATCGTTAAAGTGGAGGTGATCCTGGAGGAAAAGCCCGGTGAGACCCATACCCGAGTCGAACTGGGCGCTTGTCACAAATGGGCGATTGTAGAGGCGGTACCACTCCGAGTCTGTGAGTTTCAAGCCAGTGGTCTCCTCGATCATGCGAGCTGGAGGCATCTGCAAGAGATTTTCCACCGGGATTGGAGCTGGGAAGTTGCTGGCTGGTGGGTTCTTCCGTTCGGGCTCATGGACGACCCGGAAGAGCATGACGCTCTGGTTTGCTGGGGGTCCGGCTGGGAATGGAGTGGCGCCGATGTTGCGCATCTCGATCGTGCCTCCGGGACGAACGCGGGAGAAGTCAATGACAAAGTCCCAGCGCTCGGCTGGTGCGATTCGCATGGTGCTTTGGGAGATTGGAGTTCGCAGGAAAGTACTGTCGGATCCAATCTTGATAAAACGCAAGGAATCGTCGCTCAGCGTGAGAACGAAAAACCTGACGACAAAAGGTGGTAAAGGTTATCAAATGGAACCCTTAACAAAAGCAAAATTGGAAGAACAGATCCAACTTACTTGGAATTGGCAGCGTTGACGAGCCGGAACCTATAGATCCTGGGATAAACATTGAGATACGGCCAGGCCTTGCCATTAACTAGCACCACATCGCCAAAGTAATCCGGGCACCACACCGGGTGGACGCTAGGGTTGATCCCCACGCTGGGATACTTAATCCCTCCATCCGCAAAGAACGCCTTGTCTTGGATGAGCAATGTATGGTACTCGCGAGGAACCCACGAAGGAGTCAACGCGGAAGATTCCACCAGATATACCCCCACGAGCCCCGCGGCGATGTTAAGCCGCGTGATCCCGTACGTATGGTCGTGGTACCACAGCGTGGTGGGGAGCTGCTCGTTCGGGTAGACGTAGTCCTGAGTGACGTAACTGGGGCCGTGCTCCCCAAGTGGGGTGAACCACGCCTGGGGGTGACCGTCCGACCAGGGCGGGTCCTCTTGACCGTGGTTGTGGACAACGTGCGGCACGCCGCCCAGCCGTGGATTCGCCCAGTCTAGGCTCCGATCCAACGGCAGCATGGGCTCCACGTCGGGGATGTGGTTCTCCCAGCGAACCCACGCGGTTTGACCCTGCTGGGCGACCAGCGTTGGGCCGGGGTACGTGGCCGTTGACTGGCTGGTACCAAAGGCGTAGAGCGTCGTGGGTGGGAGGTCCCTGTGGAGTTTCTGGGACAGGTCAATCGAGTCAGCGCATTGTCAACGGTGTAGTCAATGGTAGCCAAAGTCAAACCTGGGTGATCTTGTAGGCTCCGATTGTGATCCTGGGGTTCCTGAACAGGGAGATCACCGGAATTGTTGGGAGCGCGTCCACGAACTTCTCGAGATCTGGGGAGGCTGTGAGATTGAGGCAAAACTCATCGTCCCGGTGCAGCCATGGAGCTTGATCTTGGGCTTGAGTGATCGATGAAGCAGCAGTAGTGTTAATTGGCGAGGACGAAGAAGTAGAATTTGATGGAGAAACTCGAGAGGACAAGAAGAGGAGGAGGATCAAGCTGGCCGCCACCGACATGGTGACAAAGAGAGGTACCTCACGTACGAGCTTGGATTTCTTGCAATTGTGCCATTTTATACCATGGAATAGACTAAATCCGTGTCATACAAAGAATTTCGAAGGTGAGAGCATGCAGTGCGCATGAATGCTTTTCATACCAAGAAGCTAACCAAAAAATTAAAGGATGAGAAAAGCATGTCACGCCTAAAATTGAATCTTCCAAGAATCTTTTCAAAAAAGAGAATATGCCAGGGGGGGTTTTTCTCGAGCAAAGTTTTCGCAACAGCGCCTTGTGAATGTGCTACCGGATTTCGGAGTAGATCGCTTCTTCTCTGCTGTTCGATATCAATCAAAATATCCATGGCAAGGTCTCGTGTACATTGTGAGGATAAACGCAGCTTGGCAAGCTACGAGCTTTCCTTTCTATTCTTTCTTCGATTCGATAGGTCATTGGAAGGCAAAATCTTGATATGTCTTTGTTCTTCCACGTTTTCTCTAACATTTTAATCTTATTTTTCATTTTAGAGTTTGGCTGTTTTCACAATTCACAGTTCAGACAGATGCCACTCGGAATTCAGTACTGCTGTCCACGATCCTGCTGCCGGAGGACACCAGTGGAGGATCACAAAGCCTGCGCCATGAAACTTTTGATTGATCGCTATCTACTGACGTGAAAAGCTGCTAGCAGAGCACAAAGATGTGAGCTTTTCTCTTTGTTTTTCCTGTTCTTCGGTTGTTCGGTTTTTAACAGTTTCTTCTTCTTTTCAGAGTCCGGCGGTTAATTCAAGATCGATGAATCCATCCTCGTGACGATCGTGCTTCTGGAGTCTAGATCTTGGCATACGCCGAGACGATGATGCTCCACGAGTAGAATACTGACCCATTTGGATCGGTCGAGATTCACTGTAACGTGAACAACTACAGGTTGTATATGCTTATTGCCAAGTTTTCTCCAATTTGTATTTTCGTTTTGTTGGTTTCCCAGATTGTCAGTGTGAAACATGACGTTCTCATACATCTTTGTTGGCTCGCAAAGAGGACGATAATGCCAAGGTAATGCCAAGGCCAGTAATTGTTTTATGATTGTTTCATCTACAGTGCAGGGTCGCGTTGATCCAGTCATTCACGCAGTCAATCTAGCCAGCGCGGAGAAGAGGAGGAGGAGCACATCGATTGGTCCTGATGATAGTATGGATTCGGCGCACAGCAAACAAAGTACCACTCTCCTGTTCCTTGCAGCGCCATTGGTGCTGTTAGGTCCCTGGGCTTCGATGTGCCACGAATCAACTCCACTGGCAATGATCCGGCTCGAGCTACCCAAAACTCAGAGAACAAGGACGTTACGGTGCTACCACGAGAATGACAGGTTTCTTTTGTGGCGTCTACAACCTTGGCTTTGTCAACTCTACTCCAGATCGCACACTCACAGTGTCATGAACGTCGACTCGGGTTTTCTAACCACGCAGAGGATCATCTGGGAGGCAAACAGGGAAGATCCAGTCGAACTCAACGCCACGCTCTCGGGTTTTCTAACCACGCTCGCCTCGGACGGTGATCCCGTGCTGAGAGATCGCAACGGGAGGCTGGTGTGGTCGACTGGAACAGCAAACAGGGGAGCTACCCGGGTGGAAGTTGTGCGAGAGACTGGGAACTTGGTGGTGTTTCGCAACAACACCACCTTGTGGCAAAGCTTCGATCGTCCCACAGATACTTTGATGGCTGGTCAAGTCCTTCGACCGGGAATGAGGCTCCAGAGTAGGAGCGATTTTTCTCTAGGATTCTATTCTCTGGTGGCCTGGTTCTCTACTCCAACTTCTCGGGAACTCGTCAAGAGCCTTACTGGATTCGAGGATACCATGGAGTTGACACTCTAACAGCTGCTCGACAAGCTTGAGACTTGCTCGCAGCGGCGGTTCTCAATGGAGATGGTTTGAATCTAGTGCTCAACATGATGCTTAGCAACGACACGGCTCCGTCCGGAACGAGGTCTCAAGCTCTGTGTGGCTTGAATGCAACGGGAGGTTTGCTGCCCACGAGATCATCGGCAAACACTCCACGTAACCAGTCGTTCATCCGGCTTGAGTTTGACGGGGATCTTCACGCGTATACTCTGGAGAACTTGCTCATATGGTCGGATAGTTACAATCTTCTCACGAGGAATGACTCGTGCTTGCTGCCTCAGCATTGCCAGCCTTTTGGAATTTGCTCGAGCAGCGCTTGTGTCGGGTGCTTGGACTTGGACGGAACCACGGCTGGCTGGACAGACACTCGCTCCGCTCTGGTAGTGGAGTCTTGTAGTGCTTAAAAAAATTTATGAAAAATTTTCATCTAAGAGAAAGAATGACTTTTAGTTTATAAATAGAAATTTTTAAAACTCAATTAACTTTTTCTTACTAACAATTTCACATAAATTTGAATCCATCCTTCTCGTATGTTATTCCAATCTAGAGGATTGTGAATTCGCTCTATCTTTGATGATCATGAGGTCAGAAAGTTTTTATTCTCTTCGCATTCAAGTGAAAACATTCTTTTCCTTTGTCTTGATCTTCAGAGATTCTGAGACATTCAGGGGGCATTGATTTGTGCGTCGACAAATCAATGTACTTGGCTTTCGAGGGCTTTGGGGAACTCTGCTCCAGTGAGTCTCCTTTTTGCTTGCACGGGTTCTGACCTCTCGGCTTGGTTGTTCTCCGCTCTGGTTGGTCTTGGATTGTTTGAGTATGGATTCCCGCAATGTCTTTCAATTTGAATGTCGCTGTCCCTGAACTTTTTCCTTTCTTTTCCCAGGGAGCTAAATGTATTGAAATTGGACTGCCAGAACTTCTTCTTATAGTTCTCACCCAAGTTAGTTTGTTTCCTTTTACGAATCTAGTTTCTGATTTGGAAAGCATGGTGTACAGGGTAGTAATCCCGTATCAACTGGAGTGGGTGCTCCAACTTTTTGATGCCAGTGAATGCATCAGCGTTTGTTTCACAACTGGGTACTGATCTGAACAAACAGTAACAGCCATGATATATGGCATTTCATGGCTCGCCAATGCGACTCCTCCACCTTTATTCATTGGTTGAAGAAGCATCGGATGGCAAGACCTTCTGTCCTTGCTTGCAGGGTATCGGGTTGATGTTGAATGGCTTGTTTGGAACAATCACGAGATCTGCTGTATCAGTGTAAGTGGATTCTGCAGCAGATGGATCCATGTTTCATTCTTTTGTAGTGACTGCATGTCCCATTTAAGCCCTTCAGATGACTTTTGAGGATCATGTCTTGGGTATTAGATGGGTATATTCATTTTCCCGTTTTGAATTGAAAATTTGGGACATTATATTTTTTGTGGGAAACTATGTGATTGTTGGGGTAAACTTATCCAATATTAAAGAGGTTATGATGTGGAATGGTTATGACAATTATAATTGCTCATGAGCTAGTTTACCTTCCAATTCAAGAAAAAATAAAAATTGAATCAACCTATTTCTTTTTAGTGTAGCTTTGTGTATATTGTGAGAAATACAATTATGGCATTCAACAGTTATGATTGTTCAACTACTAAAAAGTATTGATCACATTCAAAAATAGTGATAGAGCTCAATGAAAAATTCACTATGCCAACAAGTTTAGACATATTATAATAAGTTTTATAAATGCTTGTATGTTATGGCAAAACAAACACTCAAGTTGATATTTAGTTATTGATAGATCTTGACACTAATGTATTTTTTTAATAATCTAGGAAGAAAATATTGAACAAAAGAGCTTCATGTAGATGCAATTGACATGGAAATATTTCTACAACAATCTGTGATAAATATTGTGCTACTTTAAAATCCACAAATAGATCCACACGAATATAAAGATATTTGTGGATTTTAAAGTAGCACAATACACAAATATATCCACATGAAGCTCTATTTATAGTTTTCATTTATAACTATACTTTCTCAAAAAATGGCTATAAAGAAAATTCTCTTTCCAGTGCCACCACGTGGCATGTGCCCAAAACCACATTGTATGTAGGAGATGAGGTTGTGTACTCATTTTTGCCCATTTTATGAAAGTAGCTAATGGCCTGCCATGGCCGTTTCTAGGGCGAGTGTTTGAGGTCAATAGCTATTTCTCTTAGGATAGAAATAATAGCGCCGCCCCCCCCCCCCCCCCCCCCCGCCCCCTGTCATTCTCACACTACAAATCAGACCTAAGGTCGCAGGTGCCTGGTCGCGGCATTTGCTGTGTACTGGTCGGAAAACTTATGCCAGGAAACAAGCAGTATTGCTGGTTGGGGGCATGAGACTTGCAAAGATAGCAAGCGCCCTCAGCAGCATAGTGCTACTAAATCAAATAAGTAATCTGGTAGAAATTGCTGTCTACATATTGTTCTGTGATGCCCTGAAAGCTCAAAGAGAATATCCTTTTGTTATTGAATCTTGGCTTTTTCTCGCGATCCATCCGTGTTGTTTCACATTTCCATAATTCCTCGCCTAGAACACAGATGTATGGCACTGTTTTTTATCCGATGATGTCGGAGGACACGACCTCATGTACAAGCTTGAATTTCTATGGAATCGAATAAATCCGTGAGCATGCAGTGCGAATGCTTTAAGCTTACCAGAAAATTAAAGGATTAACGGTACGCCTAAAATTGAATATTCTAAGAATCATTTCAAAAAAGAGAATATGCCGGGGCACGAGCTAGGGTTTATGGATCTTTCTCGCAGCAGCAGCGGCGGGGTTGAGCGCCTTGTGAATGCGCTACCGGATTTCGAGCGCCTGCGCCTCGGTGAGTAGATCGCTTCTTTTCTGCTGTTCGATATCATGGCCAGATCTCGTGTACCTTGCGAGGATAAACGCATCTTGGCAAGCTACGAGCCTTTCCTTTCTATTGGTTCTTCGATTCGACAGGTTGTTGGAAAATCTGTCGCGGCAAAATCCTGGCACGTCTTTGTTCTTCCATCGTTTTCTCTAACATTTTTATCTTTTCAGACTCGAGCGATGTTTGGCTGTTTCCACAGTTCAAGACAGATGCTACTCGGAATTCGGTACTCTCACGATGGATTGGGATGCTGTCCACGATCCTGCTGCTGGAGAATACCAGTGGAGGATTGTGGGAGTGAACAAGACCACGTCAGCACACAGCCACGTGAGCGATCCAGACGCCGCCACGGATCGTCACGATAAACCCATACATTTAACCATGTATCAACCGTCATAATAATAACACAACACCGTTTCATAATACCACATGGTATCGGAGCAGCGAACGATCTAATGGCCAGAGGACAGTGGCAGATGAAAAATCAAAGGGGCCAGGAACCCTTGGCTCAGGAGCGCGCGAGGGCTTTGGCAGTGCTGGCGCGGGTGGAGCGGAAGATCCAGGAGCGAAAGCGCCAACAAGCTCTTTGCCCAGCCTGCCGGAAGGTGTGCCCTTGTTGCGGCCGAGTTTTTCACGATTCTTCTCCACGCCGTCCTTTCTAAATTCTCTGTTTAATCTATTCTTAGATTAATAGATAGAATGTCTTCTGCTAACGCAGCAGGAAATTCTTGGGACTCTGGGGGCTGGGAGAAACTTCTCCAAAAGTTCACGGGACAGAATTTCTCCACTTGGAAAACAAAAGTACAGCTTATCCTTTTGGCCAAGGACTGCTGGCCTATAGTGGATGGAACGACTCAACGTCCGGCTGCTGCGGATGTAACCCAACGGCTCGACTGGGACTCCAAGAATCGAAAAGCGCTCTCTGTCATCGGGTTAGGTCTTGGGGATGAATTCGTTCATCTCCTTGATCTTACCAAAACAGCCCACCAGAACTGGACATCCCTTACACAAATCTTCGCTGCCAAAGCTGCCAATGCTAAGGTGGTGCTAACACAAAGGTTCTTCACGATGAGAATGCAACCTGATGACACCATGGCCACTTACATTGGAAAGTTTAAAGCGATGATCAGCGAGCTGAAGGACGCGGAAGCGGCAATCACCTTTGACCAAGCTAAGGCATTCCTTCTGAGCTCTGTCTCCCCTGATCTCCAACCTTTCGCATCGATGCTCTCGGCTGTACCTGGAAAGGACTTGGACTCGCTCTACTCGGACCTGATCGAGGAAGAACGAAAGCAGAACGAGCGGAGACAAAAGGCGCCCTCTCAGGCTGCTCGGGTGGAGCAGGCCTTGATCATGGGAAAGCAATCGGGTGGGAAGAAACGAGATGGCCCTGTTCGAGGACAAAAGAGCCCTTCTCCCAGCCCTGGATTTGCAACCAATAAAAAACGCAAGGGCCCATGTAACTACTGCGGCAAAGCTGGCCACGTGGAGCGTGAATGCCGGATCAAGAAAGCCGCAGAGAAAGCTCACGCTGAAAGAAGCTCTTCTTCACGCCAACCTGACACGATGTTGATGATGACGCTCGCTGCATCTTCATCCACTGTGTCCGAAGCCGAAGTGCTCTGGATGGATTCTGGAGCCTCGATGCACCTCACACCATTGAAGAGAGCTTTTCACAAGTACCGGCCACTGGAGCAAGAAAAGCAAGTCTTTGTAGGAGACAAACGCCCCTTAACAGTGGAAGGACAAGGAACGGTCATCATAAAGTTGGAGAGTGGAGCTGAGAAGCTCGTGAACCAGGTCTACTACGTACCAGAAGCAGGACAGACAGTGTTCTCAGTCGGTGTAGCAGCAGATCAAGGCTTCTCAACACTCTTCAATGCAGACGGATGCACCATCTTTGACGAGACTGGCCATCCAGTAGCTTTTGGTAGACGAGCTGAGACTCTCTACAAGCTCAATGCTCAGTTGATCCTCTCAACTCACGAGCAGGGGCATTTGCTTGCAATTCGCCCCAGCTCCTGGGCTGCCAACTCTCTCCAGCTCTGGCACGTGTAAGCGACTAAATTTTCCATTCTACTTTAGTCACTTAACCACACCTCCGACCACTTGGAGGAGTCTCATTCACAACCTCCATAAGTCCAATCCAGGACTTGGGACTTGCTAGCCCCGAGAACGGCATCCATGCCACTCAACATTTACACTTGGTCCAAGTGCTCCACGTGTCCGATCCCATGACCGACACTCAAAGGTACCACTGACATAGCAGCCCGTTACGCTAAGGCCATGCCCAATCACCTTTGCCACACTGGTAGTCCAATACCACTTGCATCACAGTCTTGGCTCCCCAAGACTAGGCAAACCATCCGTGAGTGGTCATCTCAGATCCACTCCTTAGCATCCTTAGGATGCCCACCGACAAGGGGAATAGCCTTCCCCAATATCCCTTTGTCAGTCCCCACTAAGTCCCTTTCTGCCCCTGGCCGTGTTTGCCAACACTACCACTGGATCGAGACCCACAGGCCCGACCACTAAGTCCCACAGTCCTCTGGGACTTCCTCACCACACGACTGTGTCCTTGGTCACTACCCCAAAGGACTGCTCCTCTTCCTTTCCACAGTCTAGGCCTTTGGGACAACATTTCGGAACACCGTGGCCTTACGCGAGCCACCTGGGTACTCTCCTCGCCTTCTGCCCTTGGGTGCTCTAGCCATGGGCTTAGAGCGGGTTCCGTTGAGCCACACCAGGTATCCAAGTAGGTAGTGCCACCCACACTTGGACTGGGAGCATCGGCCAGTCGATCTCCCGGGGGAACTAGAGCTGGCTCTTGAACACTTCACCAAGCCACCCCGCTTGTCGGTCTGTGTTCACTCTAGTCTTGGACTTCCCAGTGGGCAGCTCATCACCCAACACTGGGTCTGGCCTTCCTGGGCCAAACTGGCCTTTCCTGGCCAAACTGGCTCCACTGCAGTCCTTCCCCTACTATACTTTTGGAGCTCACCAAACCCCCCAGGGTCTGGGAGACGAACGCTTTGGGCTTTCACCCTCTCAGGCTCCGAACTCGGACTCGGACTCGGACTCGGACTCGGACTCGGACTCGGACTCGGACTCGGATTCGGACTCGGACTCGGGCTCGGGCTCGGTCTCGGCCTCGGCCTCGGTCTCGGTCTCGGTCCCGATCTCAGTCTCGGTCTCGGTCTCGGTCCCGGTCTCGGTCTTGACTTCGGACTCCATCTTGGACTCCATCTCGGGTCCATCTCGGACTCCATCTCGGACTCCATTTCGGGTCCATCTCGGGTCCACCTCAGACTCCATCTCGGACTCCATCTCGGACTCCATCTCGGGTCCATCTCAGACTCCACTTCGGACTCCAGCTCGGGTCCATCTCGGGTCCACCTCGGACTCCATCTCGGACTCCACTTTGGACTCCAACTCGGGTCCATCTCGGGTCCACCTCGGACTCCATCTCGGACTCCACTTCGGACTCCAACTCGGGTCCATCTCGGGTCCACCTCGGACTCCACTTCGGACTCCATCTCGGACACTCCCACGTGTCATGTGTTGGTCCTTTTGGGTCCCTTTTTGGAGCCTTGCCTTTTGCTCGCTTTGTGCTCGTTCCTCGAGCACTTCGTTGGGAGTTCCACTCCCGCTCTTGACTTTTCAAGTTGGAGCTTTTGGTCCAAACGTGTTGCGCTTGTTTGGCTCTCGCTTTGGCCACTACCATGTGGCGCCCTTCCGGCTCCACTTTGGGGCCTAGGGATTTTGTGTCTCACAACTCCACCACCCATAGACGAAGTTCGATGTCCTCATCGAACGGTAAACCCTTTCATAAAGTAACACCCACACGTGTTACCATTTCCATCCTTGGCACCTAGCCAATCTTTGTCTATGGTTTGACATCAAAGGCTCACCATGCCTTGTCCATCCTTTAAGGAGCGTAGTCTCTCCAACTTAAAGACTGATTGGACCACATGTAATGGTTCTCCCCTTTTATTGGTTTAGTTCTCGCTAAACCTCTTAGAGACCCTTCTCTAAGTCAATCCCACTACTCCTTCTCGAATAGTCTCAATTTCCATCTATTGAATGTTTGCACCTTGGAACTTTTACTCTTTTGACTTTTTGGAAGTCAATTTTCTAGGTGTCTCCAACACCTTGCATTGCACAGATTGTGCAACTCCACTTCCCTATCCTAGGAAGTTCATTACTTGAGGGCACCATCATCCTCTCTTCTATTTCGTGCCACCTTGGGCACTAAGTTCCATTTATCATACTTTGTGCTAGGGCTGTCCATGGCCCTATCATTTGGCTACCTTACCGCTCCCTCACTTGGAGCCTTTACTTCGCCAAATTGGAGCACTTAGGAATCCATCCTTGAAAGTCCGCTTCCTTTCCCACAAGCTGTTAGCATCGAACACATTAGTGTTCCTTGGCTAACTTTGCCATTTGGATCCCTTCCATTAAATTCCATGGCCCAAACTTTGGCCACTAGTCCTTTGCTCCTATCCTTGATTGTTGCACCCAGCAACATCGGATCGCTACCTCCATTTTTGAGGTATCCATTCGGTTCCATAGCAAAGACTCTTCTTTGCCAAGTCCGGAGGATGTTCACCCCTAGTATGTCTCTTTAGCATATTCTGCTATGGGCTCTATCCATGGCCCAACTTCGTGACCCTCCCATGGGTCTTTTATAGAGACTACTTTCCTCGGACTCACTATGCCATCGGACGGACATAGTTTATTTCCCTTAGGTGCTCTTCCCACTTGGTCATCACGACCAAGCCACACCATCTTAAACAGTTCAATTTCAACATTTTGAACCAGGAACTTCATTCCTTAGCAAACCAAGGACCTTGTCCTTATCTGGCCATAAGATCACCTAGTGATCTCACCTTGGCACCTTAACAGAGTTGCCAAGAGGTACTTGGTCTTCTAGACCTCCAAGTTGTTGACTATAACCCCGGGGGCATCCCCCACACTTGGTGGTGCACCCAAGCTAGCCCTTACGGCCAAGGGTTCATAGCAACTGAGATTAGGTGTCCCCATCTCACTCACCACGACCTTGGTGCCACTTGCACCAAAGCGTTCAAGTTAGATATGCCGAGCTTTCACACTAAGCAATCTAACCGTGCATCACGACTCCGAGGCATCCCTCGCTTGGCGGTGTGCCCAAACCAGTCTCCCCACTGAGAGTCCATGACCACCGAAATATGAGTGTCCTCATATTCCAAACCATCACCACGCCCTAGTGATTTGGGACTCGAACCCAAGCACTAGAGGGTCGGGACTCGAACCCAACCTCCGTATATGCATCTACGGACGGCATCACGCTAGATGCCTGGCGTGACTCCCCACGCCGGTGCACCAACCTATTTTTAAAGCGCGCTACAGATCACAGCTTAGGAACCTAGTTCCTCCACACTGCCAA